GCCAATTTACAGCCCAACGGGGCATGGCGAAGAGCAACGCAAAATTACACAGTTCCAGATGTTCCAGATACAGTAGGAGCAGATCAACTGACACCTGTGAACACTTTTGCCCCACTTCTATTTCATGGTGGAACTGGCCATATTTGGGGAGCCTCCCTGTTTGCTCCAAGCTCTGCAGGCTTTGCAATTTGGACTTCAAATCGGCTCTGTGTGCAGCGAAGGACACGCACTCAGAACGTCACGTGGGATTGCTGCCGGAATCTCCGAAAAAAGGGCTCTCGTGATTTTGTTGTATTTATTGAAGATATCATTTCGTGCGGATGGCGTCGTTCTGGCAGCTTTGGATCCCCGCACTGGTTTTTGGTCCGAGCGGCTCCAACTTGGGGAACCTGTTTGGGGACTCGGCCTGAAAAATCGTTTCGGAGGCCGCGCGACCTTCTGTGGATCCACTGGCGCATCTTCATGCGCTTCTGCGAAAGCCTCCTGGTTTTCTCGCATGGCGGGAGGGTTAAAGAAACGTCAGAAAGCGACACTGGGTCACCTGGCCAAACTAAAGTATGTCCGACTTTGCTAAACTTTGTAGGATTTCGGGTTGCCGCATTGTGCAGAGACTGTAAAACATGGCAGGAGTTTGCTCTTGAGGGCTAGCCAACGAATGGGGCAATGCGGATCTGCAGTCAGCTTCAGCAGCTTCATACTCCGCACTGCATCCCGTGAGTAGAAGTGCAGGATTTGAGGGATCACCGTATGATCCGTAAGGATGGTATAGTACGGTGGTGCAGGGGTAATACAGTGGGCCCTCAACAAGGTGAGCAGAACACCGAACCCACACACTCATCAGCAGGAAACATGTCACCCCACATCACCCCACCAATATTCACAGGCGCTAGAACAAACAAACAGGCAGCTCCCCTTGCACTAGCACTAGCAGTCATCCATGACATGCCCTTTGCCTGTCCTCCTGCTTAAGTGCATGGTATCAATCTCAATCATGTTTGTAAGTCAGTTCAGTTGAGCTCAGTCTCTTACTCAAATGACCTATCTGCAGAATGTTTCGAGTATCCTCAGGCGATATTCCATGATAACTTTGACGTTAGTCCTCCTCAAATCAGGGAATGCGTGTTTACCTCACCCCCCTGATTTAGGTCCATGAGAAGGTTGCTCCCCTAATTCATGTTTATAAAATGGGGCGCAAGACTCCTACCCTGAATTGTCACCGGTATGAACCCACAGTGGTCAATGGTTGGATGTTCATGAAAGAAATTTGGTTCCGATTTGGAGCCTTTTAGCAGGTTCGAAGTGGCCAAGAGATCCGGCTTCGTGGGGAAGGCCATGGAACAGGCCAGTCAGCTGGGCTTTCAAGAGGCCGCAAACGCAGCGGCTCGGCTCGGCAGCTTCTATCGCCGCTGAAGGGGTCAGAAAGGATCAAACAGAGACTTTGGATTCGGGAAAAGGTCGGCAATAGGGGAAGCAGAGAGGGCAGAGACTACCTTGACATGCCTTGACAACAGGTGCAGCACCTACCTAAGTCTGGCGTCGGTCTTTGGCACGCGCGAGCACTTCAATTCGATTGATGTCCGTTTCGTCAAGTGGCATTCATGTTCTTTGTGTAATGAAATGTCAGATCTTAACTAGCAAAATGCCCCCTCCCAGCAAACAACAGAGGGAGAGGGGGAGAGAGTGAATTGAGTTAAGTCCACCAAAAGCATTTGGGATTGAGAAGGATAGTAGTAGTAGTCGTCGTCGTAGTAGTGGTGGTGGTGGTAGTAGTCGTCGTCGTCGTCGTCGTCGTCGCCATCGTAGTACTCGTACTCGTACTCGTACTCGTACTCGTACTCGTAGTCGTAGTAGTAGTAGTAGTTGTAGTTGTAGTAGTAGTAGTAGTAGTAGTTGTAGTAGTAGTCGTAGTCGTAGTAGTAGCAGGAGTAGGAGTAGTAGCTAGTAGTAGTAGTAGTAGTAGTAGTAGTAGTAGTAGTAGTCGTAGTCGTAGTCGTAGTCGTAGTCGTAGTAGTAGTCGTAGTGGTAGTGGTAGTGGTGTAGTGGTGTAGTGGTGTAGTGGTAGTAGCGGTAGTAGTAGTAGTAGTAGTAGTAGTAGTAGTCGTAGTCGTAGTCGTAGTCGTAGTAGTCGTAGTAGTCGTAGTCGTCGTGGTGGTGGTGCTAGTGAAATTTAGGAGTAGTAGTAGTAGTAGTAGTAATTGTAGTAGTAGTAGTAGTTGTTGTTGTTGTAGTAGTAGTTGTAGTTGTAGTTGTAGTAGGAGTAGAAGTAGGAGTAGGAGTAGTAGTAGTAGGAGTAGTAGTAGTAGTGGTAGCGGTAGTGGTAGTGGTAGGTGTCGGAGTAGGAGCAGTAGTGTAGTGGTAGTGGTAGGGGTAGGGGTAGGGGTAGGGGTAGGGGTAGGGGTAGTGGTAGTGGTAGTGGTAGTGGTGTGGTGGTGGTAGTAGTAGTAGTAGTAGAAGTAGTAGTAGTAGTAGTACTAGTCGTCGTCGTAGTGGTGGTGGTGGTAGTGGTGGGAGTAGTAGTAGTTGTTGTTGTAGTAGCAGCAGCAGCAGTAGTAATAGCAGTAGACGTGGTGGTGGTGGTGGTGGTGGGAGTAGTGGTGGTGGCAGTAGTTGTAGTAGTGGTAGTCATAGTGGTAGTCGTTGCGGTGGTAGTAGTAAGGGTAGTGGTAGTGGTATTGTGCTTGTGGTTGTGTTCGTCGTCGTCGTAGTGGCAGTAGTAATAGACATGTTTATAATCGTAATATTGATAGTAGTAGTAGTAGTAGTAGTAGTAGAAGTAGTCGTAGTTGTAGTAGTCGCAGTCGTAGTCCTAGTCTTAGTCGTAGTGGTAGTAGTAGTAGTAGCAGTAGTAGTAGCAGCAGTAGTAGTAGTAGCAGCTGTACTAGTAGTAGTGATAGGAGTAGGAGTAGGAGGAGGAGGAGTAGTAGTAGTAGTAGAAGTAACAGAGGAGTAGTAGTAGGAGTAGTAGGAGGAGGAGCAGCGGCAGTTGTGGTGGTTGTAGTCGCCGTCGTGGCAGTAGTGGTAGAAAAAGTAGTAGAAGAACAACAGAAAACTAAACTCAATTTTTTTCCTAGGGTTCCAAGTTGACATCTTAATCCCGCCCCCTAAGCAGTTGATATAATTCACTTCCCTTGGGCTTGTGCTCTACCCGGCTCTACCCCCTTGAAAGGTTGTTTGGAGCAATGAAATCGATTAGTTTAAATCTGGATTTTTGAAAAATGTTTTCAGGTCAGAGTTCAATGAATCAAGCAAACCCCAAAAGGGTTAGGCAAGGATTTTAAAGCGCGGCGTAGCAGAACAATAGATTAGAAACCATTTGGGCAAAAAACCTTTGCAATGTTCCTACTCACTAAACCATTCAGGGCGTGGAAATATTTTTTTTTTTTTTCGAAATTTGTTTGTTATTACCTCCCACTTGACTAATGAGGATTCAACATTATGCACAAGCTGCCGAGACAGCAAAGTGCACCGTTCTGACAGAGGTTGCCCAACCGGTTATCCAAAAGATGGTGTGAAATAGTCCTTTTTGTGTAAATATAACAAGTCATAATCATACGTAAATTGCATTGGGTGGGGTGAGGGCGGGGGTCAGTAATAACTTTCCACTTCAGTGTGGGTTGTAAGATTTTGCTTGTGTTTGCTCCAATTATTTGGCTATGTGGCCCATGTCTCAAATTCGCGAGCAGCGTGCCCAAAGAATCTCAACATACTTTCTGTATGATTGTGATTGGTGGACCACCGGGTCCTACCTTGAAGGCAGGGGCCATTGCCACTTCTTTCCAGTGCTTGTTACCATGTGATGCACCCACATGGGGCTGGATTGACGTACAATAACGTAACATCATTTAAGGCGGCGTGTATCATTGCAAGAAGGCACAGCGCAAAGGTCTGGGAGGCAGATGTTTGTTTTATGAAGACCTTCCCGTGACTGATGGCATGTGGTAGTAGAGGTGCTTGTCGTTCGTGACTGAGGTGTTCGGCATCAATCCGCCGAAGCAGAAGACAATTCCGGCTACGTAAGTCGCCACCAGTGTCTGTCGACCAAGTGGTCGGTGGGTAGCAGTTGATCGTTTTGGGTGGGCCCATGCATAGGGCCCATTTGCTGCCTCAGCATCCATGGTTTTTTGTATGTTTTTGTACGCCATCCAACATTGTGGCGATCTTTGGTTTCTTCTGAGGGAGTGAGAATTCATGTCGCCAGAGAAACATTTTCAAGTGAGCGGACCTTTGCAAGGGTTAACTGGCCTCAAGATGAGATGTTCTTTGACGTCCTTGTCATGGACCGATCCCGTAATCCCACAGACATGTGGTTCTTCTTTTTTTGGGCTAGTGGAAGGGATTAGATTGGAGTTCTCGTAGCTTGAGGCACACAGTGGTCCGCATGCAAATGTCTTGCCACACGGCTTTTAGCATTTTCAGAGCTGCAAAGCAGGTTCATGCTACGTGGGGCCATGTGGCTGCAGATTAGAGACTTGAGATATCTTGAGACATCCAAAGGAACCCGATGAAAGTCCAGTTTTGCCTTCTCGGCTTCTTCGCTTGCCTCGGCTTCTTCGTTCGAGCGGTCGATCCAGGACCTTCCCAAGGTTCAACTCCGTGAAGATGAGGCGGGGCGGAGTTGGCTGGGCGTGGCATCGGCAGAAGCTTTGGAAGCTCTAGTGGGTGATGCTTTGGAATCCATTCGTGAAATTATCTTACTGTAGATCTTTTTTTGACATTGGGGCTCCGCACAAGTCTTGTCTAGGAAGTGATCGCCCCCTTCATGGCTTTTGAGTCTGTCTGTCCCATGTGGATCGCATCTGCCAGTCCCAGGATGGCAACATTCATTTGCGGAATCTGTCCGTGAACATGGCCCAGAAGGAAGAAGATGCGCAAAGCTTGCGTGTTTTCATTGTTCTTGTTAACTACTGTTTCAATCTTTTGGCCATGTTGTCGGGAGTTCGCCAGGTTGAACTTGCTCTTCCTTGGTGACACCAACCGAGTGGTGGCAGAAACACCTATGAATGACGTTTCCACCCGATCCTTGCCCGCGGTCAATGAAATGCTAGCTGCTACGGCACTACCCTTGGCTGTTGCAGTCGTGGTTCAGATACCGTGCGTGATGGGTTTGAGCAGCATGAACGGAGATGGCACTCTTCCTTGATTTATGTGGCCATGGAATGCCATGGACATAAAGCTAGTATTCATGGGTTCGGCCACGTGGGTGAGCTGTTCTTGGCGTCTTCACGGCCGGGCGAGCTCAGGAAGCCATTGCATGTCACCTGGCGCCAGCGGGACGAGGACACGGGTGAGGAAGCGAAAGGTTCGGATCGAGTGATCGCGTAGTTCGTGACGATGTTTGTGGACCCCTGTTTCTAACATAATTCTTGTCGAGCCTTGTTGGATGCTTGGGGGTCCCATACGATGGAACCATGGAGTAGAAGGTGGATGAGACCATATGAGGCCAATTGTTTGTTTTTTTGCCAAAAAGTGACAGTGTGGTCACACTAGGGGTTCTTGAGGGTCAAGGCTGGGTGTTTGATCGGCAGATTTCGTGGCAGGGGCAGTAGTTTGTGAACCTTGAAATGCAGATTTCGGGGCAGGCGCAGCAAATGTGCTCTCTTATGTATGTGCTCCCATATGTGCGCTCGTGCTCTTGCATCTCCTCTGATAATGTGCGCCCTCCAGCCCTCCAGATCTCGAGAGATCTCTCTTGGCCTCCAGGCGACCCCGAGCTTTTGAAATTTTGGATCTCAAGGCGTCTGCTAGACCTCGATCTCGGCCTTTATATAATAGATCATTCTAGACCACTAAAGACTAAAGCCCTAGCCTAGACCTCTAGATCTCTCTGGACCCTCCAAGGCCTGTAGACCTTTAGATCTCGACCTCTAGATCTAGGTTGCGAACCTCAAGAACTCTAGAGCTCCCAAGGCCTCTGGATCTCTAGACCCCCTTTAGTTCTTTAGACATCTGACCTCTAGGTTTCTAGGCCCCCTGACCTAAGCTCCAAGACCTTTACACCTCTAGGTCTCGACCTGTAGACTCTAGACCTCTATATAGATCTTTTTGGATCTCAAGACCTCGACCTCTGGATACTCTAGACCTCTAGATCTTTCTGGCTCTCAAGACGTGGAGCTCAAGAACTCTGGATCTCTAGATCTAGACTCCAGCTTCTTTTTAAATCAAGACCTCTAAGCCTGTTGATTTTCTACGCCGCTAGATGTAGTGTTCTTGGGTCTCAAGGCCACTAGATCTCTACCTACTAGACTCTTCGTGACAATCAATGCGCACACCTTCGCCAGCTGGTTGGACGAGAGTGAGGGGCCAGAAAGGACAACACCAACCCTCTCACCCTTCGGGGGGGGTGAACCAGGGACCAACCTTTCGTCCTTCAACTTGCCAATCCTCGGAATTCCACCCATTCCTGGTACACCCTATCTCACCATGAGAAACAACACTCCACCACATTCCCTGATACTTCAACATTGATGTCTACGGCTTTCACCAGTTTGCCTCCTGAGTCCGGCATCCCACTCCTCTCTTCATCTCACTCGTAGTATCTCACTAGTACGGGCAAAGCTCCATAGGAAGCCCGCTCAAAAAAGATCTCTGGATCTTTAGACCTCTAGCCCTCCAAACTCTGGAGTTGTAGACCTTGAGACCTCTAGGCCTCTAGACCTAGAGTTCTTGGATCTCAAGACCTCTAGATCTCTGCTAGACCTAGAAACCTCTAGATCTCAGCCTCCGGACCTAGAACTCCGGACCTAGGCACCAGGTTCTGTCTCAAGACCTCACCTTTGCATCTCTAGACCTCTGGATCTCAATACCTCTAGACCTCTAGATCTATCTCCTCTCCAGATCTGGACACTTGGAGACCTCTCTGGATCTCAAGAGCTCTAGGCGTCTAGACTCCAGATCTAGACTCGACCTCTCTGGAGCCCAACCTTCTGCTTCTACACCTCCGGACCTGAGGCCTCTAGACACACTGTTTGGGGCCTCTTGCGGGGACCATGTTTGTTTTGGGCCTCTGGATTCCTTGAGGTTCATCATGTGGGTGGAGTCTACGAAGCCCGACAGCGACACAGTTCCGCCCTTAGGCTTAGGCTCCGTGACACGGAACGAGGCGCCGAGACGCCAGACCGGTCACGGTTTCCAGGTGCGGAGAGCGAAGCTGCACTTGGTGGATTTGGCTGGGGCGGCCCATTTCGCGCGGGCAGAGGGAAGAGGGCATACTATAGAGCAGAGATATCTTAAGACGGTGAAGACATATGAAAACACACACACACACATCTATAGTCATTTATATAATATATATATATAGTATGATATAAATAATGTATTTCTTAGTAGAATCTATCTTTAAGTGCACACTCCCGCCCCAGAGGCAATCCTCAGAGAGAGGAGACATCAACTGTTCATCAGCAATCCTCATACTCGCTGGGTTTGGGTCCTGCTGGTGGCCCTTTTCCTGAGGCAGGGAGCGAACGGATCTCGAAGACGGGCGCTGGAGTCCCGGGAAGAACGAAATCGCTGTCGGATGAGAGGAACGAAGACATGGACGGCCGGGGTTCCTGATTGACTCACTCGCTAGACCCTGAGGTGGAGGGTCATTTGCAAAAAGAAGCACGCTACATCAACCTGTCCTTGCGCGTGACTCAGCCGCTTCCTGCCAGGCGAGCTCTAGCTACTCTAGTTACATTATTGTTAATTAATGACCTGAATGGCCTCGGTCGACCGGGCCATGGGACAAGAATGGACGACAGCTGAAGGCTTTCTCAAGGTTTTGCTGTGGATTTCCAAGGCACTACTTGGAGCAGGTCATCGTGGCCTTGCACGAGCGCACCACTGGAGCTCGAAATCATGTTCCTTACAGGCGTCTTGGTGTGGGAGTCGGGCGGGGAAAAGGGAGTCTTCGGTGTGGTTGCTAAGAAACACATGCGGGTCAGGTTTTTGATGGTTTTTGGGGTGACGGCTCTGAGGTATTCAAGACATCTTGAGTTGATAGCCTCAGTGTAAGTCGAGAGGTGAATTGTGGTCGAACGTGTTTAGCTAAAGCCCTTGTGATGTAAAGGAGCAATGAGAAACAGGAGCCCAGGCCAGAATGAGCCAGACAGAGTTGTGAGACAGCTATGGGCCGGCCAGAGTCTTGCAGAGAAAGGAGGAGAGACAATATGGGTGAGACTAGTGCCATTCGTATCCATTTCGTGTGTCAAGCCGCTACAGTCGCTAAATACATGTGAGCACTGGTGATCTTTGGCGAGTCACCTGGATCGGGTCGGTGCCAAGTGATGCCCAGTCTCTGCGCGCGGTCACGCGCAGGTCTCGGTCTCTGCTTCCGCTTCTTCGCTTCGTTTCGTGACAGCGAGGAACTCGATGATGACCTCGGTGCTGCGGGACTCATTGGGTTTGAGCACCCAGCCACGGCACGGTTGGAGCGCCACGCGTGCACGGTCCCTCTGAGTGAGGGACGCGGGGAGCGGAGGGACCGTCTTGAGGTTCGGCTTTCGTGCGAAAATGAGACATTTGGACCTTCAGACGCACAAAGACCTCGGCCCAAATATAGGCAGCCCAAAAACGATCACTGAACAGCAAAGAGCTCGTATTCCGTATTCCTGATTTTTGATGCTTTGCGCCGAGATACGGCTAACAGGCATACCACGTTTGAGTTTCATTGTGAGCGATCTTCCAAACAAGTCCATTGAACATTTGGTCCAGGTGGCAACTGCAAGACGGTCATGGTGGGAACGGCAGCCATTGAAGACCGCCATTTAGAAGAGCGCCTCGCTGCAGAGAAGAATGGCTTTGCCCCAAATGGTGGTGGAACTCTTTCCCAAAACGCTGGGCTTGGGAGAACGTGGCTAGATGAAACTGAACACACCTTTGTTGCCTCTTGAGTGTAGCACTCAGCGTCCATTGCACGTGCCAATTGGAAGCTCAAGTTATCTCAAGTCTATTTCAGGCTAGGCTAGGCCTAGGGTCCAAACAAGTCTTCATCAGCAGATCGAATCCTTTCAAGATCATTTCACAATGCAAACAACAGCAGGGACAACAGGTAAGCGGTTCAGAATGATTCAGCAGGTCCGCTCACAGGGAACCCAGAGGATGTCATCGTTGGCCACCGCTCCTTTGGCACTCCGGTGGCCGCTGGCCTGCTCTTGAAACTTAAGCATTTCTTGGGAACTGTGTATTTTTAACACCTGAAGGCAACACAACACTTAGGATGAAGCTCGGACGGGGCCATTTGCAGTACCAATCCAGTCAAACTCATCAGCACTTTACTGCATTAGCACTGTACGGCTTTTACCAAATTAGGCCATACCTGAACCTGCAGGAACGGCCCTAATTAGGACGTTTGCTAAGAGCTTTGTTGAGAACTTTGCAAGTTCGCCGTCTGCGTCTGTGCAAGTAGTCATCAGTTCGACCTAGCAGTAATCATGTGTGTTTTGAGAGGTCCCTTGGAAGCAGGGTGTGGCACACACAGACGCGTAGACGTCTAGAAATGGTAGAAAGAAGAAAAGAAGAAGAAGATGGAGAAGGAGAAGGAGGAGAAGAAGAAGGAGAAGAAGAAGAAACAGAGAGAGACAGAGAGAGAGAGAGAGATCACAGAGAACACACGTAGTAAGCACGTGAAGGAATCTCAACGTTTTAGGTGCGACATTGCATCTTGCTGACACAGTAGGCACATCACTCTCTCTCTCTCTATGTATAGGTTTGTGACGGGAATTGCCAGAATAGATTGGTGTCATGCCAGCTGGACTTTGCAGAGTGAGAGGGGTGGGTGTCATGAATCAGATATCCCGGATATCCCTGACCAGGTCCATGTCCACTTGCCGATTTGCGCAACGAGTGGCCGCCATCAAGAACAATGCCACAGTGAATGAGGCAGGATCTGAACTTTCAAGCCACTTTCATGCTTGCACGTGCAGTGCTCATTCGCACGATATGGGGAGCCAACGGTGACCGGTGCCCGATCACATCCCAAGACCGAGCTGCTCTGCCGCGCGGAGCATTCTCCGCCCATGCTCCGAATCCGGCGAGGAGTTAGACCCTGCTTTGCTCATTCGCCGTTTGAAGAAGGAGGCCGCCGAGCTCAAGGCCCGGCGGGTTTCGCGGTTCAAAAGAAACCGATGGAGGCGTCGGGGTTGGTGCCGTGACGTGTGGCACAGGATGAGCTGAAGCTGCTGAATGGTGAGGCTGAAGAGTTGAATGCTGAGGACAAGGAGGTGCCTGAATTGAGCTGAGGTTTATTTTAGTTCTGTTTGGGTTCGGCATGGAGGGTCTTGATTTTTGGATTTCCTGGGAGTGATGTTTGAATAGAACCTTCTGGAAGGTTGGAGATCTGTTCATCCAAGTGAGAGAGAGAGAGAGAAGGGAGTCGAGAGGAGTGGAAGTCTTGAGGAGCCTAGGTTAGTGGAAGTCTTGGCTTCATTCTCTTCCGCCAGGAGTGTAAGAAGCTTGTCCAGGGCTACCTGGTCCAGCAGGACCTTTGAGCTTGTCCAAACAATGAGCGGCCTTATGATAGGCGAGATAGGCGAGGCGACAGGATCAGTTTCTGGCATCTTGAGATAGGCTTATAAAGTCAACGTCCTAACAGAAGTTAACATGATTGACCTGGATACATGCAAGATGATGCAAGCAAAGCTTTATGCAAAGGATGCGCAAGGCCTTCAACAGCCCGGACCAGCCACCTTCCACGACCAGATTCGACCGTCCAACCACCTCGCTCCATCCCGAGGATTTAGAGGCACCCTTTGTGGGTGGATCCATCTCCCGATTTCAGGAATGCTTCCGCCTCCTTCGCCGGGACCCGAGGAAAGGGAGTGGGAAGAGGGTCAGGACATAGGCAAGATATGGGAATCTTTTGAGAAAGCGGCTGCGAGATGGTACTTCACAAAATTTCACAAAGGCAGATGCGGCAGAGGCCTCTGGTTTCTCTTGGTTGTTCTTGTTTGTCCCCTTTTTGATTGTTCCCCTTTCCCAACCGTTCGGGTTAGTGTCCGTCAACCGAGCCATAGGAGGAACTTAGATGGGAGTCACTTGAGCGGACACCTTGCAGCGTCGTTTGCTGTTCGCCCTTAGGTGAGGTGTACCTGCAAAAAGCTGGCGGAGCTGTTGAGTATCCAACTCAGCACTGGCAGGCAGTCTATGACAATCTGCGACCGTATGCACTTCAAGATCTTCAAGTAGACTAGTAGACGGAGAAAGTTAGTTGTGTGAGACGCGCACAATCGCAATTACACGCAGGGTATGAGCATCACCGCATGTCGCCAACTTGAATGCTTTCAGAAGCAGCTCGCAGCCCTTGTGCTTGCAGCGAGGTGGTGAATGCAGCGGTTTAAGAGAGGAGGTGCCCCCAATGGTAAGCCTGTGGCCCCTTTGCCAGCCAGAGGTTTTCGGGTTGGATGTACTTAATCGAAGGTGGAGACCTGATGATGCCAAAGCCTCAAGAGTAGATTTGACCACGAAGATCTTTTTGGGGTTTTCAACTATTCTATCAGAACGATGGTGGCAAGGAGCTGTTGATTTTGCCAAGCAGGGTTTTTTCGCCATGGCCGGAATCTTGCTGGAGGTGGGGCCACGTGAAGGGTGCCTACGTAAGAATCAAGTGGATTGATCTTACTTTTTGGAGAGAGGATCAGAGTCTTGGCTCTATTATAAACTACTAGTACTATTTGTCTTATGCTCCTATCGATCCTATCTATCTACGGTATTCGCTGCACTCGTGTCAGTATTGACGGTATTGACCAATCCGGATCCATGCCTTTCAGCATGTCAGACCATCCGGTGGATGTCATGCAACGCGGGACGGCAGGTGCAACGCTTGAAGGAGAGGTGTCGCATTGTGCTTGCTTCGAGCAGCCCCCGGCGGCATGAGATTCTTAGCCTTCTGGGCTGCTCGGCATGGTGGACTGTATAGCGCCTTTTATGTGGCACCACACACTCAATATTTTAATGGGGTCACTCAAGGAGGTGGCACACATCTAGTTATATATACATATATAATTATGCATATAGTTACACATAAAATTGTATACCGTACATCTAAAGCCGACACCAGAACCGGGGAGATTGGCTCCCTCATGAAACCAGGCGTTCCCTTCGAAGTGGTCACGCCGAAGTTTGCGGAGGATCTGGACAAGTCCAAATACACTCCTCCAGAGCAGCTGGGTTGGTTGGCAGGAGACACAAAGTAGGGTTTCGGGGTTAGGTTATGTGGGCCAGGCTCACAAGCAAGAACTTACTAGTGAACTCACTGCCTTTATTGTGTTAGAAGGGTTCTGCGGGAATGTCATGCTCAATGCAAGGCAGATGTGCTGGAACTTTAGGATAGTTCTTTGCTTGAAGAAGGATGTTGAAGAATTGCAAAGAAGCAGGAGCATTGACACTAGCTGCTTGATCTACTGTAGTCTAGTTTGCATTACCATGGGAAAATGTAGGAAAGTGTGGGACAGCTACCTCTACGTTTTTTATACTGCATGGATACAGCTTTCAATCATATACAGTATGCAAAGCTCCAAACAACTATTGGGACACTATCACCCCTGCTTGGGACATCAACTATCTAGTTCTCAAACGGAATCACAAGGACCACGCACGCAGAAAAGGCCCTTGCCCGAGATTGCTCAAACCACGTGGGCTGCCACGAGAGAGGCCACGGGTTCCGCAACCATGATCGTCAGTGGACATGGTACGTGACCGTCAGGTATGCCATGGCCAATGCTCGCATCAAATGCGCTGAGGCGAGCCAAGCTCGTGCCGAGCTAGGGTCCGGTGGGTGTCTCTCAAACGCACGGGGGGTCCCGAATCTCCTGTAGCATTCCAATGTTGAGGGGTTTCTATGTTGACACAGACAAGCAAGATTCCAGGTGGTGATGAAGCTGGCTCATCCCAGATATCCACAGCCCGAATACGATGACAAAGTCCTCATCGTGATAGGCAGGGCATGCGCATGGGGAACACACAAACGCAGAGCAGGACTGGACCACTGAAGAGGCTTTGCTGCTGGGTGTGAGCGGCTGGGACAGCGGCACCTCTGATTTTCCTATATTTCCTAAGGCCCTCCCACTAACCCTTGCAGATCCCAAAAGTAGTTGTGGCTTGTAGGAGCATCGTTGCATGCCGCAACGCCACTCCAAGCAGTCGAACCATCAACCCACACCATGTCTTGGATGCTCATGAGAGCTGCTGGCTGCTTCACCTGACACATGCAGGGCTGCAACGAAAGATGTTTCCGGGGGTGTTTGCTTGCCAACAATGCGTCGTCGTGGGCCTGCCACTGGAGTGGCGTTGCGCCACGTGCATTGTGGCTTGACGGAGTTTCACGAATAGAGATTGCAAATGATCGAGTTCGGTGACCCATGTTGGTGGATCAGGTTTGGTAGCGGTCGGGTGGCAGATCCCAAAAGACATCATGGGCCACTTACAAACTGGACAGAGGTTTCTTTTTCCTAGATCTGTGACTTTTCTCGTCAGGTGCTGACACCGTGGTGGTTCGTGGTGATACGATCCTTGAGAAGCCCGAGGCCCTTACTGGACCAGTGGTGGGATCATCAGCAATGATGGGTACAAGACTGGTGATTGGTGTTATGGTGCGAGATGGCCCAGTGACGAGTCATGACCGCCAGAGAAAGAAAGAAAGAAAGAAAGAAAGAGAGAGAGAGAGAGAGAAAGGTAGAACGAGAGGCTTGTTAGGGGTTTGGTCTTTTTCGTTACTTGGTCGAACAGTTGTTACTTCATGTGTTCCGGACCCGGAACTAACTACCATGTTCAGGTTTGAAGGTCCTTGTGGGTGGTCTGGTGTTTCGTTGCAGTTGGAGGTTGGACCTTTCAAGTCCTTGCAGGATGGGACATGTCGACCAGGTGAACACGGTGAACACGGTGAACACACAGTCACTACCAATGATCTACCATCCGGATCATCCCTTAGCCGCAGCCTTCTGATCACGGCTCGTGTGGGTGAACTCTACAAGAAGCACAACTGGATCCCTTGGAGCGTGCTGAGGGTCTCGATTTGAGTTTCTTCCACTGAACAACCGCCCATGGTGCTCGTGCGCATCCAGGATGCAGCGCATGCCTTGGCGATGTTGAAGCAGTTGCAGGGACGGGAGCATCAGGTAGAGACACTCAGTGGCGGTGGGGAAAATTGGTTAGGAGTTTTCAGTTGAATACAGCTCTGAAGTGGGGTCCTTCTCGAGTCTTGGTTAGAGGGATTCATTAGAACCTGGGGATGGTTTGCGGAAGCATGAGTCCGACTTGAAGTCGCTCGACTCGTTCAAGGATGCCGACCCATCCTGTGCGCACCCTGACGAACCTCGACAGGTGATCACTGGCATGGCGGTCTCGGTCGGTGGCTCCGAGGAACCTGTGGCCATTTTCGCCACTGGGACCTGATTGTGTCGGCTGGCCTGGGTGGGACATTGCCAGACAAAAATCTTCATTGAGGGTTGTTATTAGTAGCGTTCTTGCGCCTAGTAGTAGGGCCAGGAGAAATCTAGTAGCGTCCTTGCTCCTGGTAGCGATGCCCTTGTTACTAGTAGCGTTCTTGCTCCTAGGGTTGTCCGGGGTTGTGGCTGTTGCTCTCTACTGTGCTGTGTTTGAGATGCGTCCAGACATTTGTCTCAGCGTGGCTAGAACAGCTCGTTCCATGTCCAATGACTTTCCAACTGGTTCTTTCTGCGAGCAGCGGCCGGCTTGTCCTGTACCAACTACGCATGGATGTGGGAGGTGGTCCAGTTACCGAACATGCCACCTCATCTGAGGAAGAAACCTCTGTCTCCTTTGCGCAGCTCACAGATGAGGAGTTGAAAGGCTACATCGAAACGGGTGAGCCTTTCGACAAGGCAGGTGCCTATGGTATTCAGGCGCGGAACCAGGTGCCAAAATGACTTGTGGGTGAATCAAGGTGAACCGTAGGGGCAATCCAAGACCCACATGGCCCAGGCCCTCGGCAGCCTTCTCGTCACTGGGATTCGAGGCAACTACCAGAATGCCACCTGCCAGGAAAACCTACCCAGATTCGCCGTCCAAGACTAGCAGGAAAGCTCAGGAAAAATGGGGGAAGTTTGCTAAGAAATGGACCAGACTGCAAAAGACGCCTGAATTTCGCTGCTTCCAAGGTGGTGGGCTTGCCGCTGGCGCCGTTGTCAAGGCTGATTGCGGCCGAATTGGCACGTCATTTGAAGGGTGCAGCCCAAGAGTGTCTTGTGACGCACTAAAATGTCACTCTGGACAGAAGTGATCTTCAGCCGCAGAGCGCCATTCCCCTGCCGAAGCTCATTGGGCTGACTGCATGGGCATGTGGCCGTGGTGCACAGATAAAAAAAAGGCTTCGAAGACTTTGGCACTGGCTGGGCGCGAATTGGCCACCCACCTTCCTTGCAAAAACATCTCTTTTGGAATGACTGTAGGGTGAAAGGGTGGCCTACTGTCATAACTCTTACATCCTCAAGTGCCACGCGAAACGCAAGGCAACGTTTGAAAACATTGGCTGGAACCTGCCGGGCCTCTTCCCAGGCAGATGAGTTCGCCTTCCGAGCCACGCTTGGGAAGCCTGGAAGCTACGCTGAACCAGCTTCGCCAGGAGGTCCGCGTGTGCCGTGGGTCTACCCGCCGCGCGGCTGGCGGAAAAATGCGGAAAAGACGCGGCGGGATCCGTGCAGGTGGCGATGAGGGACCAGGAGATCAACATGCTGGTGGATGAGCTCAGAGTTGGGCGAGGGGCACATCATCAAAGCCTTTCTTGCTTGAAAAGATTGACTGGAAGGAATGTAAAATGTCAGCCAAGCAAGGTTCTGATTCTTGTTTTTTTAGGTGGGCTCTTTGAGCAAACGAGGGAACAACGCCAAGGAGGCCACGCAGACCCTAGGTATGAGCTCATACGGAGCCCAGCTGTGCGTGCGGTGTCCTCTGATTTTGCTGGCAGAGATTGTCTGACTACAAGCATCTACAGGCCAAAGAAAGCCAGTAACAGTCACACCAAGCACTTCTAGTTCAATGGATTGGCTGAACGGCACTTGCTCTGTAAGGAAGTCGAGGGGTCTTTCTCTCGCGAAACAGACGCCGAGCCATGCGGCGCAGACACCTCCGCTGCGTTCGAGGCTGCCCGTGCTGGTCCTGTCTTCATCCCGGGAGCTCCAAGTGGATCCAATCCACCCGAGGTGGCGACCTCTCGTGGTCTGGACCTCGGACAATCGGACCGGGGACTGCTTGGATGGTGTGGGTTGAGGCGGTCATCTCAAGAAATCTCGGTGTTTGATCGTCAGAACATGTCAGAACTGCTCCCGATCCGCGAGCGTGAGTGGCCGGGTCTGAACCGCACTGCCGGGTCTGTCGTCCTGAAACCAACATGACATCAACATATTGTAATGCTTGAGTCCCACTCGATAGTATTCGTAGATTTCGTAGGTGGTCGAAAGCCGGCATCGCGCAAGGTTTCACGCAAGGGTTCTTTGCACAAAGCGCTACTGTCAGCGACATTAAAAACACATTCGAGCCGAACGGTATTTATATAATTGTCTTTAGATTAAACTTTAAACTTTAGATGTCTTAAGAGGCGCGTGCTTAGCCCACGCCGGCGCAAGTGTGGCTTTGTTTGACCCATGTGCAGACGCTAAAATCAGAGATCTTTTGGCCAACACTTGTGAGGCCCTGAAGCTTTGAGCAGTCCAGGAGAAGACTCCGCTGCAGTAGGCCGGCCCCGAAGGGTTCTTAACTGCTTCAGTGTCCTGCTTGGGGCTCCTAATTTGAAGTCTCCGAAGTGTCATACAATATGTTTTAGTACCAATGAGTCTTTCAAAAACCATCGCCCCTCGACCTGTGGGTGTTTGAGATATGGCTCGACTTGGGGGTTTCGTGTTGGGTGCGGCGAGGCCCTTCTGCCAGAATATTCTAAAAGACTCTACAGTGGGCCCTACAGTATGGGTTGGCCGTCTTCCTTTGTGGGCCGATGGGGCATTGTATTTTGCCTTCTCTTGGAAGAGGACACCCAAAAGCACATCCTGTCTCCGTACAAAGCTGGAGAGGTGACCCAACAGCCTTGCTCTTGGACAGGAACAAGGTGCCCGGGCTCATGGGAACATTATTTGGAACAGCAGAGTGCAGTGTCACTGAAGATTCTTACTTTCAAGATTCAATGATCCTCATTCATGAAAGTATTGGCCCCCCAATTCAAGTAGTAAGTTTTGAGTAGCTGCCAAGAGTGAAGGAGATGTCAGGAAGCAACAGAACCCCTTCTTTCGAACCGCTGCTTCGGTCGGCCCCTCGTCATGAATCGGCCCACTCCCCTTCTGGCGATGCCCGGTGATCCCGAGCGGGCCCAGATCCGCCAGGCCTTCGACGCGTTTCGGAGGTCCGTGCGGCGCAGCGAGACGCTGGACGATGGTCGAGAAGCCATGAAGCAGCTGGTGGTCGAAGCCAAAGAAGTTGGAGAGCTTGCAAACGTGAGACGCCCAGCTGAAAGAGACCAGTGCCGGACTGGCAGTGCACGGACGGCCGCAGTGCCGAGCCTGATTTTTTTGGCGCAGTGCCATGGAAGTGGACATCGACACCTTTTTTGCGGAGAAGTAGTGCCATACCAGTAGTGTGAAGCTTGTGAGGCTGCCAGGGCGTCAGTGCAAGTGATTCAGAAGAAGATCGAGAAGGCAAGATCGAGAAGCGGCTCGTGTCATCGCCCCATGTCGCTTGAGGCTCGCGCCCTTCGCTCTGTCGAGGCTCGCCTGGGCCGCGTCCTGGGCACTGGTCCTCACGATCCCACCTCCAAGGAGCGGATTCGAAGACTGTAGAGAGAGGAGTGTGAAGACAAATCAGGCAGATAAGTGTAGTATCATTGCATAAGCAGGCCTATCATGTACAATTAATTGTAATTGTTTTTTTTAAAAGACTCGAAGTCACCGGCATTCCATTGGAGTCGGGGTGGACAAGAAAACCATCAGGTCATGCAAGTCTTAGGATTTTCTAAGAGCCTTTCTTCGCTGCCCTGTCAGACACCATCACAGGAGAATGCCGTGCCGCCGGACACTCCCGAAATTGCCACCCTGAACCATACCATGGAGGTGCAGCACAAGCTCAAATCTAGTCCAACGAGCAGTGCGATGGCACACTGGAAAGACATATACTGTGTATACAAATATATACACTATGGTATATATATACACACATATATATACATATATATATAATATATATTTACACAGTATAGCATACCGTATAAAAACTGTTGTCAGGCAATGCCAGACGCACTTGATGCAAACCAGCTGATTCGTAGCAAACGCAGCCTTGAGTCGATGAGGGGGGGTTTATAAACCCCGGCGAGTTCCAGCGAGTCAACCGGACGGAGCAATATTCGACATTCATTCGACTCTAAGCGACTTGAAGTCATTGTCCAAGAAATTCTGGAAGCTCTCAACGTGCGGGAATGTATTTGATCCCTGCCGCATTGAGCTGTGATTGGACTAGTGAAAGGGGACAAACATGGACAAAACAATACGGTTGCCTCAGCCCCTGCAGAAAAAGCCACGCCCTGGGTGCCAAAAGGACAATTATATACTTTCTTCGCCCGCAATCTATAGGTGAAGCACAGATGCCGAGATTTTATGTTACTATAGGGATTAAAGACGAAACCGTTGGCCACATCGATCGCTTTACTGGGCTTTTTGAGAACTCCATGGAACTGTTTTGATGGATTGCAGAGTTGGCCTGGCAGCTGGCAACAGTTCTGGGGCCATTTGAGAGATACTGGAGACCCAATGATGGGCCACGAAGGCGCCTAAGGCTTCTTGTATCTCAGGAGGTAGGGAAAGATCACAGTCTTGAAGGAACAACGGTCAAAACATGCAGCATGCAATTCCAAAGGGTCGCTAGCAAAGCCTCACCAAACATCTCAGAACAATCTTGGTCCTTGTTGTGCTTCACTTCGCCCAGCGAAGAACCCACCCGATCTCTTGAGCGAAGCCTCACCACTCGTCGCACAATTTTCCCGTCCGAGGTGAAGATCTCCACGTACAAGAAAAGCATGGAACGCTTGAAATGGGTGTCTTGACGTCGGATCTTCGGACCGCGTCTTGGGACCCGCGTCTTCGCACAGCTTATATACTTATGTATATATACACACAAGGAGTCAGAAAGGGTGGTTTCTAGTCCCTAAGTGAGTGGATAATGGGAACACCTATCCTCCAACAAGCACCCCTTTTGTGAATTGTGGTGTATATAATAGAGGTACAGTATCCTTTTCTTTCCCTCCGGGTGTGGGGCTGTGTGCAATACGCAATCTGGCCAGAAGTTTGGGAAGTCTCCCCAGTTATTGAGAGCTCAATGAGTTCGGCAAAGTATGTCCGGCCCCTGACCAGAGGAGTCTATGGATGATGTTTCTCGATGTTTTTTGATTTGCACATCCTCAGGTGAACAGAGCATGATAGAAAGCCGACATGGCATCAGTCACATTTGGGTGGTATTTCGTGCTTAACCGACTTGAGGAGAACGACGATAACCATGCATGTGTATGACATAACTACTGTATATTTCAATATCGACCTAGTTTGTAGTATTGGACATTGTACACAACTCCGAAAGATAATAGGTGCAACACCGATATGGTTTTTTGTTCCCATTGCGCAGCACCATGTCCAAGTAGCAGTGAGTGCCCCCCTTGGTCTCCAGCCCTTAGGGCAGTACCAGTTGGGCGTCTCTGTGAGACGGCTCTGGGACGAGTCATGCCCGCCAGAGAGAGAGAGAGAGAGAAACACCCAACGTTCCGAACCCCGCTGTGCGGCGTGGGGGGCGACCAGGTCAAGGCCGAGATTGAGAAGTACCGATCTGCAGCGGAGGAAAACAAGGACATCTTGGTTGCCGTGGCAGATGGTAGCATAGTGACTTAATGCACACAAGGAGCAAGCTTGTTATTACTGTACATGTTATTACTATGTTCGGAAACAATTTAAATTGTTAAGGTCTTCGGGACTCAGACCCTTACCATTGTATCGTCATGCACGGCTGGAGCTTGTGGAGCCATTTTAAGGAGATGAAAAACATAGATACTCATGACTCCCGAGACTGGAACCTCTGATTGCCAATGCTGCACGAGCCACAATAATCCTTCCATTTCCATGTGCCACCTTGCTCCTTCAGTTCAGTCCAGGGCCTAAAGCCGCCCGGGCATCTCGTCCATGTGCCGCACCAGGAGCGTTTGCAGCGGGACTTTGAGGCCGCCGCGGTGTGGTGCAGGATCAGTTCTCATACGTGCTGTCCCATCCACTTCGGGAAGAAGTCAAGGACCATCAGACCTGGGGACCAACAGGCGTCGCCAAAAGGCGCCGCACTGGCACGGACGTCCTTGTCCTTGTGCACCTAGTCCTTTTGAGCCACGAATGAGCCATGTGACCGTGTGATGGTGGATGACGCCAATGTGGCACCGTGCTTTGGTTGTTGCGGATCCTCTCGAGGCGTGGTACCTCTCCTTGCAGGCCAGTTCTGGCTCTGCAAGAGCCACCATTCTCATGTCGTGTTTGATCGTTTAGTGGCCGGGCGCGCTTGAGTTCTATAAATAAGTTTGGAGAATGTTCGGAGCAGATTGTAGCAGAAGCTTGCTGGGGTCTTCAAATCACATTTGTCTCCCGATTTTGGGAGGCTTGATCGGAACAATCTCTCATCAATGCAGTATTCAGTATTCAGTATACATCTACTACCGCCGCTGCAACGGGATTTTCATTGTAGTTTTGTCGTGGCTATCTGCGAAAATAGGCCTTACAGAATTCGCTAAGGCTGTAAGGAACCCGCTTGAGGAACTCCGTTGCAAATCACATGCCAGTGGTTTTGGGTCCATTCCAGTCACTTTGAGAATGGCTCTCCAGGCCCATCAAGCCAGTGTGGCAGGTGCTGAGGCGGTGAGGCAGGCTTAGAACATCAGGGCAAAACACTGACTTGGAACAGCCAAGTTCTCCTGGAAAGCAAACTTAGATTTTGGTGGATTGAAGGTTCCTTGCTTGCCCCGCAACAGTATAGAGGCTTTGCATGTTCACAAATAAGATACTGTATTATTGTTGCTTAGCTTATTTTCCATTCATGCAGAGAATGAACATGGCACGTGCCTATTTAGATGCATGTGTACACATTGGCCAGCTCACACATCGCCCGCACGTCGCGTGCACCTTCCACACATTGAAGATGCATACACATTTTACGCGTTCTGGGATTCTGGGAACATGTTGATAGTGGTGACGGACAAAAATACTATTAAAGGAACAACAACCGACGATGATTTATATAAGTGTGAGGTGTATTGCTCTAACTCAGGTTGTTACCAGAGACCAACTTGAGATTTTCTAACAGCAATATCGCGATGTCTTCAGTATTCACTTATAGCATAGGACAACATGTTGTGTTTTATTTCGATTTGTCGTTCCAGAGTCTCAATATTATATATGTATATTTTTAGATGTATAATACTTTGGAGTTGTTGGCGTTGTTATGCCCAACTTTCTGATCTTGCTACCCGCAAGATAGCAGGTGGTTAGTTTGTCTAATGTGGAGTCAAAGCATAACTATTTGCACACAAGAAGCAAACAGACTGAAACAGGGTCATCAGGCAGATCAGTCGAGACTCTTGCCACTTACCACATCTGAAACTATTCATGTGGTGAGGTGGGCAATTTGTTGTGTGCACCCCCGGTCAGGTTGGACTCTGAAAGACCTGGGTTTCATCCAAGGTCCCGAAGTCTCTTTAGTTCAGGGAAGACGACACCCAGCCAAGAAGAGTCGTAATGAGTCTTGGCTTTTCGGCTCCGACTTCTTCTCTCCTTTCCTTCCCCACATCCACATCCCGCAATCCCACGCAGGCCAGCGTCGGCCCAAAGCCCAGCGGCGGTGGTGGAATCCAGCCCCAGGAGCAACTCTGCCCAGGAGTCGAGGAAAGCTCCAGGCAGCGGGTTGGCTGTGGATCGCTTTGGACTCCTCATCCGCAAAACAGAACAAGTTCAAGGTATGTCAAGGGTCAAGCAGTGTCAAGGATGTTCTTTGATCTTTTTGTTGCTTTTTCGATTTGATCCTTAATCGTGCGATGGAAGGTGCGCATGAAGGTGTTTTGGCCGCCTCCGGCGTGCCACAAGAACCACCGGCAACCTCACTCACAGGCGTGAGCCTCGAGCTGACAAATCCAGAAATATTTGGTCATTTGTGGTCTGCCAACTTGAGGCCATCAGCAAACGGATGACGACATCCGAGCCTACTTTGCTGCCGTGGCCAATCTGGAGTCCCGTTGAGGCTTCTGTTGCATAATATGCGGTGATTACGAGTCAGGCGCCTTTACCACGGGTGCAGTGCTAACGAGCACGCTTGAAAGCACAGCTGTGCACAAGCGTCACAAGGTTGCGAAAGGTGCAGCCTTGTATCGAAAGTGTGCTTGCGACATCGCTTCGCAGCGCACCAAATCCAAGACAAAGCGCTTGAAAACACGTGTTGAGTGAGATCAACTCTTGGACGACATGGGACCCAATGATCACGTCGAAACCCGGCAGACCGAAACTCCTGGCAGACGGTTCTCCAGAAATCCAATTTTTCGAGCCACATGGGACTCAGTGCTGCAGTTTTGACTGGCAGGACTTGGGTGGCTTGAGCCTCGTCAATGGTGTTGATGTTCCAAAAGGGAGACCCAACAAACTTCGCTTTTGGAAGGTTTTGGACCAATTGATTGGTTGATGGATCCCCATGGTCTTAAACCTAGATAGGGCACCTTGTATGCTTTCTGCTGAGGGGGGCAGGGCGGCGCATGAATTCACCACTGTCGATGCAAAATTTTTGGTTCAAGAGTGGCCGACAATGCATCTGCACTGGAAGAACCAGTAACGGTTCCTCGGCAAATATTGTTCAAATAAAACTTGTTTGTTCCATCTCCATGTCACAGACTCTCGTTTTTTGTGTTTGGACTTTGCGATTTGGCAAGGATGCCGACGTCATGAATGCTGAAGAGTCTGCTGCCGAGAATAGCTCGGAAGTGCAGTTGCTCAAGGCTGGAAAGATGATATGTTGATGACAGATGTGTCTCAACAAGTTCAGAAACGCTTCAGAGTCCATCTTGGTTTGAAGATCTTTAGCGGTAGCGCTTCATCCTTGTGTGATGTGTATTTTGGTGAGAACAAATTTTGATTTGCATGAAACGGTAATTTCTTTGTTTATGGTCGAATCCAACATGTCTTTATTTGCCAAATTCAGCTTCCTCGCCCGAACAGTTGGCTGTCGCCGATGCAGGAGTTGCTTCTGCAGCAAACACGACGATCAGAGACTTTGGGGCGGCAGGACAGCCGTTCGGATTTGCCGAACAACGATCACTATGCATGCAGTTGCCTATCCCTTTTCACGTTTTTGGTTTTGAATTTTTTGGAGATAGAAGTACAATGAAGTACATATATTTGACTTGGGATGATCTGGCTGGAATCACGCGAAAAGGGCACCATGTTGTCAGTTTCTGCCTGGACGGTTTCTCCTTCAAAGCATTAATGTTTTGAATTGTTTTGACCCGTTTTGTTTCTTACAAGTACTACAGGATCCTTCTTGTCAGCCTCAACACGCAGCTTGTGGATGTTTATATGTCAATTTGCAGTGAAGCGACATGAGTACCCCTCTAAAGGCTATGTTTAGTTCACATTAGTTCACTTCAAGTTTTGTCCCCCACTTGGTTCGTGAGTGGCAGCAGGCAGCGGCGCGCGACTGGGAGCGATGGGAGCTCCTGCAGCAGTCATTCGGCCCGAATTGGGGGTGTGGACAACTCCTTTGAACAGTCACCATCCTGAGTGATCCTGGGTGTTTCTGTGTTTCTTTGTTTTGTCTCATGGGAGTGTTTTCTTCGGGTTTTGGATTTTTAAGTTGGTCAAATCTCAGCCACAGTTTGGATGATCCCGCCCAAGTGATAGTCCAACACCACATGTCCCATACTGTATTTCGATGGAATTTCTTTTGAAATCTCTCGAAGATCAACTGCAAACAACCTTGAAAGACTATGGACAACTACAACGATAATGTCCCCGTTCAATCCACATTTTGTTTTCTCAGGTTGTTGGACGGCCTGTAATGTCAGCATCCATGTGTTCATATTGCCATGACGCACGGTTTGGAGGCTGCGACAGAAAGATGAGCAGCTGGAGTTCGAAGAGATCGCTGCCACAAAACAACGAGTTGTGACTCGTGCTGCAACCACTTCGAGTTGGGCACAAGAGGTTTGGGCATTGGGGGTGAGAGCCAACCATGCCAGAGGAAGAGGAAGATGCACGTTTCATGGTGAACACTAGTTTCTCTTAATATTTTTTGGATGTGAATGCGGGGTTGACCCACCATGTCATCCACATCTCATCTTCGATTTTTTTAAACGAATGCCAGCTGATAGGCTAGGCTGAAGTGCTAGATGGGCGAACGAAGTGAGTATCAGGGTGTGTGGGGGGGGTGGTTGCGTGCAAAAGGGGGACTCTATCAGGGCCTTGGTCAGGGCCTTGGTGATGCGAGTGATACCAATAGCATTTTTTGCTGAAGCAGGACACGGCAACAATGACTTGTCGGCACAGGAAGCTGCTTTTCTGGGCTGGCGCCCTTTTGCGGTGTGTTTGCAGGCCATCATTGAGGAATCGCCAAGTTCTCCAAGAAAGCGCGTTAAGGGTGGCTCTTTGTTGGCCTGCTTTAGGTCTTTAGGTTGAATTGTCGATGCAGAGCCAGGTATGGCAAGGCAGTGTGTTCTACAACCGCATTTCTGGGCTGGTGCCCTTCTGCGCTTTGTTTGAGGATCATATCGCAGCATAAAAAAGGGCACCTCTGGCTTGGACGCCGCCTCAGGGCAAAAAAGAGGGCACCCCCCAAAAGTGGGCTCTAGCAAAAGGACATTGGACAAAGCAAGGCGCGGCAGGTGCATCTTCGAGCATTTATCTTGCGAGTAAAGAGGGCATTATCAGGGGGTCCGTGCGGGAGTGCTGGAGACTCGCACATCGCTTGTTGGAGCTTCTTGAGTGAAACACGCTGCTCTGAGTGTGTACGAGGGCTGGCTTTCGTCCCTTCACTTCTCAAGGTTGACCACCCTTCAAGTGAAGTAGTCCTGAAGTTTTTTGCGCTTCCCTGGGCTTTTTGTTTGGGTGTTCTCATCCACATCGAAAACATCTATATACTGTCACTGCGGCACGTCGTGCGACGCGAAGGAGCCCCACGGACCATTTAAGAATGCTTGGAGGGCTGTTCACAGGTCAGGATGTTGAGGATTTTGGTATACCCACAGAAATCCACAGAATGTGACTTCATGGAGATGATGGTCTTGTGCCAAGGGTGCTAGAGATTTTGGATCAGAATCAGATGCTGAGTTCTAGGCGATTTTGGGGGCTGAAGGGGCACTTTTGACTTGGACGCAAACCTTATACTTCAAGTAGAGAAGTCCGGACGACGGGTCCATCCTAATGTCAAACAACGCAGTTGAGAACACTGTGGTGCACGCATGTTTAATAGTTCTAATATGTTCTGATCCCCCTCCACCGAACTACTAGTTACTGTATTCCAAAAACCACTTAAGAGAGAGGCAGGCCACATCAGGTTGCCAGTGGGCAGGTGAAACACGCCCAGAAACAGCCTAAAAACTTCAAACTACCAGCAAAACGTCTCATCGTGTAGTTTGAAAACATGAAATTGTCCATTCAGGGGACTGAAATTGTTTCAGAAACATTCGTGAAAATGAAGACACCCAAGTCAGAACACGTCATCATCATCATCACCGTTCTTGTACTTGTAACATATAGAATACTATTTCGGTCCTTTTCAATCTATATCAGCGGTATCGTTCCGACGACTCTCGTCTCGCCTTCCAGGTTTTGAGCACGGTGCGCGCCACGGCGCGGCATTACCGGGCAGTGTGCTGTTTGCGCGCCTGGAGGAGCCATGTGCAGCAGTGCCTTGGACAGCCAGCCTTGGCCACTCTAAAAGCCTACACCGACCCCTGGGTCTCACCATCTCACCCCTGTTTTGGATCGTTTTTGGTCACTCTATTTCTCAAGTGCAAGGAGATTCTGAAGGTCCAAGGCCATATCCAATTGTTGGAATCTGGAAATGTTTAGAAATGTTGTTCCAGACTGTTTTGGTCAAAAGATCACGACGGGACATCGGAGTAAGACAACCCAGAAGGCTGCCGAAAAATGGTTCGCTCCCATGTCCGCCCAACGCACTGCAAGAGTTGCCACAGTCAGGTCGACTGCGTGTGCCGTTAAAGGCCGGCTGGATGACCACCGTGCGCGACCTCAGGCTGTGCGCGGAGCGAGCCCTGCTCCGCGCCAAGAACCGGCTGGCATTGGGCCGGCGGCGGCATGCCAGCAGCCTCATCCATTCGGCCGGAGCTCAGAAACGACGAGCTGGACACCATTTAAATTTGAAAGAATATGAAAGAATGGGATGATTTTAGAACATTGGTCCTTTCAGCAGGGTTTGCACATGAGATCCTTTCTTGAGCCATACCCAAATGGTTCCTGTAGGATCCTGTAGGGGTTGGATTGATTCTCCATCATCATTATACTTCTGGCGTTTTGCTCAACTGGGTGGATGCCGCGCGCACAATTCATATATATATATATATATCCGATATCCCATGTCCATGTCATCTCACTTTGACCAATGTTTTCCGATGATGCTATACTGGAAGGATTGCACCATCGCATATTGTATTCCAGTGCTTTTGATGCCAGCCCAGCTTGACACGCAACTGAGCGAAATCACCATAAATCACCTGACCGTTCCACAACAGCTTTCCTGTCACAGGTGTTGAAACGCGTGCTGGAACGGCATCTGACATCGGGGCTTCATGCGCTGGGCGTTCACCGAGCGCCCGGAACTCAGCCGAGCGAAGTTCACCGGAGCCTTCCGCGGCGGAAGGAACGGGCGAAGGTGCATGGGAACTCGGTTGCTTGGGATGTGAACGGACATGAGCTGTAGAGAGTTTCCCCTTGAAACGCGAAAACCATGAAACAGTTCAAGCAGGAAATTCAGGGGTTTGGAACAACTGGCCAAAGCCACCCATCTCACGGAGTTGAGGAGCTTCGTCTCGCCCGAGATTGAGAAGAGGACGGGTCTCCGATGCAACCAATGTTTGACGGTGTTGTGCATCCGATGCAGCCCCATGCGCCGCATGCGCCTCGTTTCTTACGCATCCGCGACAGAGTTATGTTACATGTGCTGGGCAGTTTTTCAGATCGAAGTGGTGCTGTCGGTGTCTTTCTGGTGATGCCGCTGTTGGTGAAACAGGAGAGTCCCAGAGCCGGGCTTCTCCACGCCTCCGAAGAGCAGTGCTTCGGCTGCCCTTTGAGGGCGCGCTTCGGCGATCTTTTGTCAATATGACATTACCATTCTAAAGGCTTTGAACCCCTGAAAAAGGCATTTTTCAAGACATCCGTCGTTTCTCATTCTAGTTGCAAGGTTTCCTTTGGAACCTCCAGAAAGTCTTCTTTGCAATCCATAGATTTTCTTGACCTTGAACAGATTTGAACAGTGTTAACTTTTACATTCCATGTTCGCACACCGCACACCAAACAGCACATTGCTTCCATTTGGGTCGGTTCGTTAACTTTGGTTCGTTGAAATCGGTTGGTTGGCTGTTGATTGGCTGGCTTGAACAATCTTGAACAAATGATCTTTGGAGAAGACGTTTGCTTTCGTTGCTCGAGCGATTGGAGTTGGTCGTTTGGGTTAAGTTGGTCGGGTTTTGCTGCTTTTCGGTGGTCGGCCTCGGCTTCGTAAGTTTGCACTTGGTTGGGTTTATTGTGCTTTTCATGTCTGGCTTTGCAGCTAAGTTGCCTTATTTAAGTTTGTTTGGATTGGTTTGGTTGGATTATTTGGTTGCCTAGTAAAGGGTGTTTGCCGGCTGGTCAGTGTTGAGGTGGTGTTAAGCCGGTGTTCGTTGGTAGACGGTGAGGCTGGGGAGGAGAGCAAGGAACAGCTGATGGTACAGTGGCGCACGTGTGACACGTGTTTGGCTCTCCAAACTCCAGAAACCACCCAGAAAAGTATGGAAACACCCATGAGCATCCTTCAAAACAAGGCCTTCCGGGCCTTCCTGTTTTGATTCTCCCCGTCATCCGGTGAGGTCTTCCGCTTCGTCCCCAGGTCACCCAAGTCGAGTCCACTGGGACCCCAGTGAGTGACTCAGTGGCTTCGCCACCGGACGGGGACGTGGGGACGCGACCGAAGATCGACATGGTCTGAAGATCCTGAAGTGTTTTGAAGATGTCTGAAAGCTATGAACTCGTTTGGAACCATGGTTCGATTTGGAGGCCAATATGAACAAGTTTAAGCACCTGGCCCCGGTAAGAAAGGGAACCACAACACCTACTTGTGAAGTGAATTCGGAAGAGACACACGACACGACACTCAAAACAGCTCTGGTTCCTTGGACACCCACCAGTCACCCTTGGAGGTGTCCAGTTTACTCCCCTCCGCCACCGGGACCCGCCCCCGAGCCGTGCCTTCGATTCGATGCGCGGGCCGAGGTCCGATCCCGCGGATGCCGGGCCGAGCGGCGTATCCCAGCGAGGTGGGACGGAGGGAAAGCGGCCCCGGCTGTTTGACGAAGCGGGGAGCATCCGGAGGGAAAACGGGGAGAAAAGGAGGATCATTTGGAGGAGAACATTAGTTAAATATACAGTTGACATTCTGTTTATATTGGTTTCTATTGGATTTGTCCAAAGCCGTGAAAGACATGGGTGTATTCGAATTGGTGTAAGGACGGGTTTTGCTTGATGAGTTCACCGGATTTGGGGATGGGTAGGTGATACCTGGTGGGTCCACTTGGACTGTGGGATGAACGGATCAAGACCCGAGGGGTTCTTTGATATGGTTTACTCAGTTTGGCTCAATGCTTCATCTGTGGGAGATAGAGATGACCGTTTGGTCCCCCAGAAATTCCCTTCGCCCCACGGCTGTTGGAGTCTGTGGAACTGGACCCAGTGGATTCATCATGATTCATCCTCATCCTTCACGCCTTGCCCTGAAAGATGCAGGTGTCCACCGAGATCCCCAGCGAGGTGCTTCAGAGTGTCAGCGGCCTTCCAAGTAGCAGCTGAGCAGTTTGGGTGCGGAGCGGAGCGGAGCGGAGTCCCTAACCTTTTCGCTTGGGGATTGTTTAGGACCACGCACTCGGATTTGGAGTTGATCGACAGTTCTGTGGCGCCGCTCTGATCAAACACTCTCCTCCTACGAACGGAGCAAAGGGCATCGCTACTAAGAGCAAAAATCCCTGCTGCCAGGCCGCATTAGACTCCGAGCGTGCGGATTTGGAGTCCTCCCTCGAGACGGTGCGGCTCACGCAGGAGGCGTCCATGGTCGCCCGTGGTTCCCACGGGGAGAAGCATGGAGAAGCGGCGGACGATGCATAGCTCGGACTTGGATTTTCGACGGCCTTGGGAGGGGTCATAACTGGGACTAGCCGTCAGGCTGCAGCTCAAGCGCCCAACAAAGTGAGGAGATCTCTCCTGGAGGCACCCTCGATCCGGTGGTGAGCAGCCCTTGCTAGCCTGCGACGCGATCGGACTGTTGGCTGGTACTGGTATTGCAATTTACCTTGTTTCATACCACCAACAGATCCACCCACACCTTTTCTGTGGAGAATAGTATACTATATATTTGACATGTGTGCCGCATGTGCCGGCTATCTTTGGAGTGCAAGATGTGCCTTTCTCCACTGAATCATGGGGCGCTACTCAGGGTGATAACTTTTTGTTATGGCTTTGCTGTCAGGCATGGGGTCGCGACCGCGGGAAGTGGGCCCAGGACTGGACAGGGACGTCCATGTTCCGGGATGATTTCACGATGTCGAAAGAAACAAGCAACCAAACGCTATGTCTATGTTGCAACACTGTTGTAGCTTTCTATCGTTTTTTTGACGCTCTCCTCTGGCTGTTTGTGTGTGTGTGCACATGTGACATATGGAGAGCCTCTCCGCCTCTCCTGTTTAAATTGAGCAAGTACAAGACATCTAGGAACCAAACGATCAGTGCCTGAGCTATCCTGCATCCAGTTTCTGGAAGCCAACTAGTAGCTAGTGGCTAGTAGCTTACTCCCTGACTTAATTCAAGGAGGCGCCTACTGAATTGAGTAGGAGCGGGTTTTAAAACAAATACAACTCGAGCGAGGAGCGTGCGGCCTTGAGTGCTGCAGCTGATGAGGCCAGGGAAGAAGCGAGGTGTCTCGCCTGCACTTTGTCCAACTTGGTCCCAGACTCATCCAGACTCCCAGATGAGTTTTTTTTTTTTTTTTGTATTTTATGTGTCACGTTTTTTCCTGGGTGACAGGGGTTTCGAGGTCTCCTTGATCTCCCAATTGGGGAGCAAGTGGACCAAGTGAAACTATGCACATCACACCCAAGATGATCATCCTCCTGGTCATGAAACAGTCAACCAACTGATGGCGACACACGTTTGCACTCGCAAACCTGTCAACCTACTAGGCAGTGTTTGATCGCAAACCAAAGCGTTGGGTCAGTGGAGAAGGCCGATCGCTCCGCCGTTTCTCAAGGATGGCACGTTGGGCCAACGCAGAGGCTGAGGCCGGTGGAGTGGGGAAGCTTTTGGGCTGGACAGTTGTATCACGCAATATTTGAATATAAGTGAGCATTCACATGTATTCAAGGTTATTTGACGAGTGGCCTAAACAATGATGCATTCCAGGATATTCCAGGGTCATCTCACCTCCTGGAATCGCTTTCACGGAATGACATTTACGCAAAACTAGCAGGCCAAGGTAGCACTCATGCAGTGCAGATTCTTTTTTTGGATTCACTTGCCAATGGGCTCACCTATGAGAAACGACACCTTGAAGTTCGCATTCTGAAACTGTGTGTGTCGCCCGCTAGCCCGCTCGCAATCCGAAAGCTGAGAGGTCAAGCAAGAAGGTCATAAACATATATGCAACCAAAAGACCATCAAACAATATCAAACAAATATATCGACATCATTCAGACATCATGTTTCACAAAAACCAACAAATATTCTCAAATATGGATTGGAAGGTGAATCGTATAAATGCTAAACAACATCTACTCCGAAATGTGAATGACATTCAGAATAGATTCAGACTTCATGTCACAGGTGGTCAAAATAGCGAATTTATTGTTCCAAAGGGGAAGGGGGTCCCCTCACGTCACCCCTCATGATATTTGGGGAGGTTCATGATTTTTCAACCCAAGGTCGCAGGTCACATATAAATTAATTATCGATCTTTTTTGTCTCCAATCTAATATCTTTCGGATGCGGCCCAACAAAAACTACTGTATTTATGTGCTGCTGCTGGGAATCAGAGGGCAGTGGGGGGTTCTTCAAGTGTTTGCAATGCTTCAGATGGCAGTGCATGTCTTAAAGATTCTGAACTTCCAACTCTGGCTGTCAAGGTGACCCAGAAGTGTCGACTCTCCGCCTTTTTGTGGAGCCACATTTCATGCGCCTTCCAAAAAAACACTTGTTTTGCTATGTATTGCTGGCCAGGCAAACTATGCAGAAGCAGCGGAGGCCAGCATTCCATCCATTCTGAGCGGGGGTGGAGGCATCTCAACGAGCACCTTATTTAATCCGCAGGTCCTTCTGATATGTATGTTTGCATTATTTAGTTGATAGAGTTTGTGTAATTTGGTATTAAGTTTTGTTATAATGCATTCCACAAAACAAAGCATGTTCATACCTGTTGGACTTGAGGTCAGCAATGCTGGTACGAAGAGACAGAAGAACATACTGAACCTTTTGCCCCGATGATTCTTGCTTCAAGTCACACATGCATCTCCCATCACAAGGTTGCCAGAGCAGAGCTGCGAGGAGAGGAACATTTGTGTGTGATGCCCAGCGTTGAAACGACGTCAATAACCATGACTCGCCAAGGCGGGTGATGTGACGTTACCGCCCGAGGTGAAGAACGAGTCAAACGAGTCAAGTCTCGCGATGTCTGGACGAGTCTGGCGATGCTGGACGACGAAGTCGGACTGACGGAGATGCGACCCTTCGAGGAGCAAGGCGTTATCAGTGCAGGTTTGATTCTCCGAAGCTGAGAATGGTCCAGTTGACGAACTGAGTGCGGGTTTTCCGCCAAGGCATGCAGCTTGCAGCCCAGTTAAGGGAACGAATCCACCAGGCTGCCAGTCTTTCAGGCTGCAAGGTCCTTTGGACAGTTGCTGAATCTGATGATGGGACAGGGGAGAGATCTGAGGTAGGACCAGATGCGGACCATTCACGAGCATTCAGATATCAATCACTCACACCTGGAGATTCGTTCTCTGAGCAAAATCAAACGGTTTGTTCACGGGTTTGCCAGCGATCCACTCCCTTCCAGTTGTGTTGCACTGCTCCATTTGGTTTCCACGCGTGTTTGTTAGATTTGGATGTTCTTGCGTATTTAAGTTTCAGGCAAAGTTGGTAGGTTTGCATGTTTCGGAAATAAGCCGGCAAGCAACATCAAACAACTGAGCCCATGTGAATCTTCTGGAGAATGAATCTCCAGGCAACGTGTGACAATTCTTGCAAGTGTGTTTAGATGTTTTTTGGTGATTGAACATGGCCAATGGCAGTGCAGCCATTGAGCTGAACAGCTTAACATGGCACAACATGAGGGAACCCCGAGAGGGGCTCGGGACGATCCTCGATAGGCCGAATCTTTGGAGGAAGCCTTGGAGCTGAAATTGGAAGGAGCAAAGGTCGGGCAGAGCGGCAGAGAGTAGAGTTGTCCTCCAATTCCAAGCTTAAAGCAGGATTCAAGCCCTTCTTGACTACACGGCCAGAGCATCTCCACTCTTGGAGCCAGGCCACTCCTGACGGAGCACCTTCTTCCAGTCAGCTCCAAGAGCATGGGCCCCAGGACTGCTTGAGAAAAGTGCAGCACATTCTCACCACCTCCGGTGACACTTGGGCAGCTGTGTACAGGTCATGGTTTGGTGCAAAAGGATGTGATGATCGACTTTTTGGTGACGGTTGGTGACTGTATGATACTGTATGATACTGTATGTCTGTATTGGGACCCAATCGACGGCAGAGCCGCGGCAGAGCTGCTCCGCCCAGGCTGGACTCCTATGCTGCGCTGGTGGACCGGCTTCGCAGCGAAGTGGCGCACGAGCGCTCAGAGCGCGAGGCGGGACAACGAAAGCCGGTGCCGCTGTTGGTCTGGGATCTTGCAGCTGTAGTGCTTGGGGATCTCTCTCACACCACTGTCTGTGGTAGTGCCTCGGTCAGAGCTTTGTCTTTCAAAGTGTATACATATATATACATATATGTATGGTGAACTTCCATGTTTGGATGCACTTTGTTTGATCAAGAAACTGAGAAAGCTGGAGTAGTTGCTGGTCTTCAGCCAGCCTTGCACGCCCTCCCCAGAGTGAGTGGCAGCAAGGACGGAGCTTTGTTCTGTAGTGACATCAAACATGACACCACAATTTTTGGGATGAATGATCCAGCCCGTGGCGCATGTTCAGACATGTCCTGGTCATTGTCACTCATTTTGTTGGCCGCCCCCCTTTCCTGTTGGCACACTTTTGTGCATCCTAAGTCCTAAGGAGACCAAGGAAACCACAGGAAATGTCAAGAAACCGAAAGAATCCCATGCGCTCTACTTGGTCGTCGAGTAGGTGAAGAGTGAAACAAACCATGGAAAAGGGTTTGCAACGGTTTGTGCCTACACGCCAAAGCTGGTGTGTTTGATGACAAGTGGCGACCCACACCATACCACACCTGGAACTTTAGCGGGAGATGGCTTGGTAGTTCACATTCTTTGCAGCGCCGGGTTGTTGGTGAGGCCTCCGCAAGCAGTTTAGCCACCCTACGCAATTCGCCCGGGGCCTTGCAAAGAGCTCCATATTGTTTTTTGCACCATCAACTGGGTGTAAAAACGCGAATGGCTGAAGCCATGAGAACTGCAGTATCTTCAAAAGCTTCAACTATCTCAACTATTGGCCGTTTGCACTGCCTTTGGTCAGATCCGAAGGTATCGATTGCTTCTACAGCGCACGTCCAATGACTGCGGGGCACCCAAATCCGTGGTGTGAACAGAATAGGAAACTCCTTCTATAAATTGGAATGGAAGAAAAGGAAGAAGAAGCATTTTATGCACAAAGAAAGAACGTCTCAGAAGTCTCAGAACAACCATGAACAACCCAAAAACAAACGGACGCCCCCCCCCCAATGTCCGTTGGTGCTTTTTGCCTGATTTCTCCATGTTCGCCATGTTGATGGCGAGTCGTTGTTCGTTTTCACCTTCTGAGGCCTGAGGGAAGGAAGCAGAGCCTGCAGAGGGGCATGGGCGCGGTGAGGCCGGAGGTAGTGGAAGACACGTTCAAAACGCGCTGAGGCCTACCGTAGGAAAAAAGTATTGGATTTTGATTGCGAACAGAAGTAGGATTCTTGGGCATTGGTTTGCTTTTGTTCTTTGATTTTGTCTTTGAGTGGTGCGTGCTCTTTTGGGCCTCTGCTTTAGCCTAGCCTTAAGCCATCTTAAGCCTTCTTTCTGCCAGCAGCCTAGGCGTTGTCTCACTAGGTTAAGGGCATTTATCTCGGAGCAGAAATAGAGGTAGAGTTAAGAAAACCACTTAGGCTATCTCCGATGGTTTTTCCAAATAAAAAAGCAAAAAAATAAACAAACAAAACAACTACAAAAAGCAAAGGCGAAAAAAACGGCGAACAAATAAGCGGAAAACACAACAAATGAAAAAGCAACAAACACAAAAAATGCGAACAACAAAGTGAAAAAACACAAATGAACAAGTAACAAGTCTCAAACAGCGAACAAACAAGCAAACAAAATAAACAGCAAATGAACAAGCAAACAGCGAAAAAACAAAAAACAACGAACAAAAACGTGAAAAAAAAAACAACAGAAAAAGCAAAAAGCCTCAAAACGCAAACAAAAAAGCAAATGACGAAGCAAAAAGCGGAAAAAACACGGCGAACAAAAAAGCGCTACATTTTTTTGACAAAGCGAAAAGACAAAACAAAACAAAGCGGAACAACAAAAGGCAAGCAAACATGCAAACAAAAAAGCGAAAAAAAATGGAACACATGCGGAAAATTGGTTTTGCGATTTCATTTGCTTTTTTTGTGCTTTTTGGATTTGTTTTTTTGGCTTTGCTTTTTCATTTGCATTTTTTTTTGTATTTGCTATTTTTTGCTTTCGATTTTTCATGTGATTTTTGCTTTTTGGATTATGTTTTTGCTTTTGCTTTTTGTAGTTGCCTTTTTGTATTTTTTTTTGCTTTTCTATTATTTTCAAGATTCGCAGAGTAGCCTGGGTCCGGCGATGATAAAGGTAGAGCATCGATTCCGAAAGCAATTCTGCCCCAGCATTGCATTTGTAGGCACACTTCGTAGTTCATAGGCACATTCCACCGATGCTTCACTACGCTAAGAAGCTTATAGATTATATATGGCTCTCAGAATTCGAGTGATTTGATGACAGAGGAGGCAGATGCAATTGCATCTGAGAGTGAAGTGAAGGGGAAGCACTGGGTGGGTGAGCATGTGGACAACTGCGAAGCCAACACCTGACAAGTTCAGAGGAGCATCGAACAACCAAGCTATCGCCAACTGCCAAATCACATACAAACACACACGCACCTCAAAAGGGAGGAAGGCAAGTCACTCAATTAAGCTGTAAACCTAATAAGTAAATAGATATGCCTATCGCACTCACAACAGACCCAAGCAACACCCAAAGCAGTCAAAGCAAACACTTGAACAAAAAAACATTTGAGAAACAACAGACAAATAACAATAAACAACACAAAACACATTTAAACACTAAAACATGCAACACAGAACACGTCATACTTTAATTCCCAGCAACCATTCCAAATCATAAAGCAGTACGAAAAAGACTCAATGAACCATCATAATCCAAAACCACATCATAAATCAAATCATACCTGGAATCATACTGAAAAATACACATACACATAATCAATAAATCCTGAAGCTAGCTAGCTTTCGCAATCACTAGCTACCTCAGGCCTATTTGGCTGGAAAGGGGATGGATGAATGAGACACACCTTCAGGTAGGCCAGGTATGCGTCAATAATCTGTTGCCCACACTGTAGAAAGCTTTGGTTGACTAGAGTAAAGATAGCAAGTAACCAATATTTTGTTCCCAAAGTCTCATTCGTCTTGCAACGTTTTGAGTGTTAAGTCAGACTTGCCCTTCCTCGGAAGTCTTCACGCATTTGTGGCCTTCTTTAAGAACTTGTTTCTTCAAACACTTGTTGAGGACTGTTGTTTGTTGTTGTATTCTCAGTGATTGAAAGGTACTGATGAGCAGACTGAGTATATAGACCATTGAATGATTGCTGATCCAAACAGTCTCCCCCCGGGTGGAACTACAATTGTCCTTGGGAGGCCCCGCGAGGGGGGTTAGGAGCATGGTAGGCATGTCGGTCCCTCAAGGTGCAGCTGTTGCAAGTGCAAGAAGAGTGTTGCGGGAGTGGGATGTAGGTCAGAAAGGAAGCTGGGAGAAAAGTATTGAACCGTTGGAGGTTGAAGACCCCCTTAAACACCATTTGGATTTCAATCAATCATCAAATTATAACTTTGTAATTAATTCAATCAAAAAATATGTACATCAACTACTCACCAAATTGATTCCAATGACTCTATTTACCAATATTTACCATAAATTCAATCTGTTTTGGTTTACCCTTTCCCCAATAAAGTTGTGCTTCTCGAGATGATCCAGCAATTCGGCGGCTAACTACTGCCGATTTGCTCTTATTGAACTACCTTTATGTACATGTTGTCTTCATCTATTCTAGGATCCATAAAGTATGTCATGATTGCGATCCAACATGTTCTAGGCAAATGATTCATTGACAAAATACACCGAACATTTGAATCGCGACTCCGAACATTTGATCGATCCACCGCTCCAAGGCACCAATTTTACACACCCTACAAGAGCCTATAAGCCAGCAGCGGGTTTCTACTAGTGTTTCGACTATAACCGGATTCAAGGTCATCACGTGCTTTCCAAGGACACATGTTCATTGATGCCGAAATGAATGATCCTCATTGTATACTTTATAAAGTAGAATGTTAATAAGCTATTGTTTGTGTATTTTGAATGGCATCCAATGACCCCTATTACTTCTGCGGCATGTTAAGCTTTCAAACATAATGGCGATTGGCATGATTCCAATTGTCGCCTTCAGCGGCTTCGCAGGCCGAGGGCTTTCCATTCGCAGCAAGTGACCCTGGACTACCAGTGGCGTTCTCAAGCGGCATGATGGTATACTCAATCTCAACTACTAGTGTGGCCATGTATGACTTGGCCATTGACATCATCCAAAAATGACTCTTGGTTGAGATCATATGACGACTTTTGGTTGAGCCATGATGAGCTGAAATGGTGCACGTGTTCGATGTGATGAACCAAAGTCCAACATGCCCAGATCCAGGAATGGCCAATGATTCTGGCCAAACAAAGGATTTGGATGCACGTGCAACGACATATTGCATCCTGCTAATGATATATCTCCAATTTGCTTCAATTGTTGATCTTCAGAAATACCGTACTAATGGAATTGATCAATATAGAATATTTTGCAAATTGAAGTTGATTGGAGATTTAATCACTATCGATTTAGATTTAGATAGCCCTTAACTCACAAATGAATTTCAATCAAGAAATACAATCATATTTCAAAATAAATATCTATGATTCAAATTTTATATAATTGATTTTTCTTAAATCCAATAGAAATAATTAAATTGTTCTATTTAATATATAAAAGGATAATATATTTATATGTTTATTTAAAATGAAAGGTATTATTTTAGGACATATTTTGATTTTTTTGTTTTTGCGAAATATATATAATATATTTTCGAATTTAAAAATAAAAATTAATAAAATATAATATTTCGAATTATTACTACAATATAATTATTCATTTTTTTCGTAGAATAGATTTATAGATATTTATATTTTTTTTATTTTGAAATGAATTATTTCGATATTTTGAATATTATTTAATATTGAATAATATAAATTAAATATATAGAAATATTTTTAATTTAGAAAGATTTATAATATATATATATAAATATTTTTGATCGTAAGGATTATTATAAATTATATATGAATATATATTTTTTATATATTTTATAATTTAATATAGAATATTTGTAATAAATTTTTTAAATATTATATTATATATTTTTATATTTATGATTTTTATTTTTAAATAATATATATATATAATTGATTTTGGATTAGGTAACACTTACGACATTAATAATATTTTGCTGGCCTAAACCTGGAGCAATGTTTTTAATACCGCAATTTGGGGAATATAGGAGAAGCAATTTTTGTGCATATTCATTGAGCATGCTGGGATTGTTGTGGACCCATGTGCAGACCAATTTCTAGGCCCCATGCTTGTGGACTGGTTCAAGGACCATCCCAATCGTGATTAGCATGATGCTGGTGAATTTGCTGGATGGTTTCCATAATGGCTGCTTGAAAAAAAACGCTCCCACAATATATGTAGGAGGATTGGAGCTCTCGGTTATTTAGTTTAACAAAAGATTATGCAGATGTGTTTGCTCCTGTTCCCATGGCATGTCCAATTGAGGGTTTCATTACTCTTCAGCAGATGATCAATAACTGGCATCATCAAGAGCCTTTTGTGCACGCATTCACATGTGACTCCCCTTGGATCTGCTTTTAGGTGTCTCGTTTTCCTTTCCTTGGACAGAAAAGCCGATGTTTAGTTCTGTGGGATAGACGTTTGCCCGTGCAGATTCCGATTTTCAATGACCGCCGAGGCATCCATGTTGAGTGGCATGATTTTATCGTGACAACGGGGATCATCCCCCTGGGTGACACGCCTACTGAAGGCCATTCTCGTAGCATCCTTTGGCACAGTGGCACCGTCAAGTCTTGTGATGATTTTCGTTCTGCCCTTCCTTTGGGAGTTGACCCGGAAATTGCTTCCACTATCTACCTCATTTGGATCATCCCCAAGACATGCACAAATCAGCAATGGAAACGTCCTTTGCTTATGAAGCCAAAGAGTTTTGACGAATTGCTCAATGACTGATTCGCATGAGCACGCCTTTTCGAGCACTGGTGCCTAGACACTCGAGAAGTGTCCGGCCTGGAGTCCCTCCAGCTGGCCCAACACGGGCAACCAGCATAGGTTGCCGGCAGATGAAATGAACACATAGTTGGTTTTGAATATAAAAAAGAAATCTTGATTTTCGAGTATTGATTGAATATATTTGGATTAGAAATTTTATATATAGTAATTTTTTAAAATATTGTTAGATTATTTGTGAAAGATTCGCGATGAGGTTTGCGGATTCATTTTTTTTTCGGAAGTTTTATCGAAGATTATTATTTATTGTATATATTTATATATTCTTATTGTATTGATGATATATATAAATATAAGGTAATTTTTTAGTAGGATCGGTGGATGGGTATATATAAATGTGAAAATATATAAATATTACATAAAATAGCAATTTAAATAGATTTTGACGGGCTGACGTAGATATTTATAAATATACAATTATTTGAAAAAAAAATATATTAATGAAATTCTGTGAAAGATCCGTAAATATTTTGCTAATATTTAATTTCTTCAAATATTTATCGTATATTGAAAATTGATACGCAAATTGAATTGAATTATGATCGATTCTATTTGGTAATTTTCGTTTAGATATTATAAATGAATAATCCTGAATAATTATGGAAATACTAAAATTTCTATTGGGATTGCACTCCACCAAAAGATTTCTCTTTATTTTATGATATTATATTATCGATTCATATTAGCTAGAGATGGTTGGAGGTGTATACTTCGCGATGAAACCACGAAAGATCTGCGAAAGATATATATTTATTCTTTTCCCGAAGGATAATCATTCTAGGACGAAAGAATATTGATCAATTATTATTTAGATCCCTGAAATATACGGGTGTGCACGATTAATTATCAATGTATTTATACCTTTCCATATTCTCGAAATGCATTTCGATTATATAGGCTCGCGAAATCTGCATGGGCACTACCGATTATATTTTCGTTGTGGTGCCGTGCGCATTTTCGCATATAATGATTATTTTTTGTGGTAGATATAAAATAAATGATTTCAAATTCGATTTTTCGTGACAAATGCAAGGAATCGGAATTATTTCAATTTCGAAAGGTCAATTTCGTGGCAAATACAGCATTTTGGACATGGTGAGTGTGAGTGAGCGTAAATGTGAGCGTGTGTGAGTGAATGAGGGGGAAATGAAGAAAGATGACAGAATGAATATATAACAATATAAAGTCCTGTGCTTACCACAATTCCGTCGAGATTTCCTAATCTTATATCTACACGAAATTTATATGTCGAAATTCACTTAATATCGTGCTTACCACGATGTCTGCACTTCAAGGTACACCAAAGATTTCCAACGAGATTTATCCTTCGAGCTTCACCAAATGCGGTATTTGCCACGAAATCTATATTTCGAACAATATAAGGTGTTATACCTATCACGAAATCTTCATTTCGATATTAATAAACAATATATCTGTTACGAAATTTACATTTCGAGCTTCACCAAGTGCTATACGGCTTCTATCCATATTTAAAAAATATCTTAATAATTAAAAAAGATTATTTCTAGATTCTATTTTTATCAAACAATTAGGTTATTTTATTAATTCTAATTTAAAAGGTCCTGCCACAACGGAAAAAATACGATATTTTTATACCGGGCCGTGGCTAGGCCGGAACCAACAATTCAATCGATGGGTCCCAACCTTCCAAAAATTCGGAAAAAAAGAAAATTCCAATCTCTTTCCAAGATCTACAGGATAATGAAGGTTCGTTTTTAATTAGGTATCATTGTGGTTATAATTCGGTGCATCCAATATTATTCAATTGCGGCCGTAATGATACCTAATTAAAAATTCATTTTCGTGATATCAAAAAAATCTGAAATGAGGGGAGGGAGGGAAGGAGGGAGGGAGGGTGAGGGAGGGGGGGAGGGAAGGAGATTGAAGGTTCCGATAAGACATTTAAAGGGTTTCACATCAGCTTCAGACCACCCGAGAGGATAGGTTGGGCATTCGATAAAATTCGGAAAAAATTCCAATCTCTCTCCAGGATCTACAGGGTAATGAAGGCTCATTTTTATTTAAATGCCATTATGGTCGTAATTCGGTGCGTCCAATACTATTCAATTGCGGCCGTAGTGATATCTAATTAGAAACTATTTTTCGTGATTCCACAAATCTATGATGAGGGGAAGGAAGGAGGGGGGAGGGCTCAAAATTGAAGGCTCCGATGGGACTTCGAAAGGGTTTTCAGATCAGGTTCAAACCACCTCAGGTACTCGATAGGATACGGGTCAAAGAAATCAAAGACCATGCGCATAGCGATGCGGTTAAGCGATTTAGAATTCGAGGGAGAATGATTTCATTACCTAAAAAAGGCTACCAGGGAGAACATATAATAAGAATCCTTCTTTAGAATCTGCCTGCTAACCATATTTCTTAATTGACACAATTAGAATGCAATTATAACTAAGAAATAATCTAGAATCTTTTCTAACAAAACATTTTTCTTAACAGAATCATCATTCGTATTTATCACGAAATTTACAACCGAACCACATCTCCAGAAATTACAACTCATCCCACCTATTACGAAACTATTAATATTCATTTAAGAAGAAGGATATACGAAAGGTAAGATAACGGAGGAATATAAAAATATAAAATATGCAATCTGTTATTGGTGGAATCGAATCAAACATCAAATTAAACATTGTAAAAAAGAAAATAATTCTATATATATATATATTAATATATTTATATAATAATCCTTAACAACAAAAATTTATCAAAAACAACATATCATTGTCTCTACATAAACTCAAATACTACCCCAAATTTCGGTTATTCAATATCAAATAGCCATCAAAATATCGAGATATTCCATTTCGACATAAAAACTCAAAAAAACACCAAATAAGAAATATCGAACTAATCCATTTCAAGATAAAACATCAGAAGAGGGAATTAAAAAAACAATCTACATTAAAATAAATCAAACCATTCTAGGAAAAAAAATTATAGATTAAACAATAATCCAATGAGAACGGGGGAGAATTAAACTAAAATATCAATTATTAGATCCGGAAAAAAAACCCGCACTTACTTTGCAAAAACAAATTCAACATATTTCCTGTTCTCATTCCCATTAATTCTTCCTTTCACTCCCCCACACCCACTCTCACTCACTCACTCTCACTCTCACTCTCAATCTCAATCTCAATCTCACTCTCAATCTCACTCTCACTCTCACTCTCATTCACACTCGCTGCCGCCGTCGCTACGATCCCTACTTTCATCACCACCATCACCTCTCTGGACCCCAATGCATCTAGATCTCTAGACGTTCTGCTTATAAACCTCACACGCACTATGTAGGGGTCTCTTGCCGGGATATTCTTCAATTATAACATTATATATTAGTTTTTCTTGGCTCATTTTTTGCCATATTTTAATTATTTGGGAATTATTATATTGCTCTTCTTGTTGTTGTACTACTAGGCAAAAACATTCCTAGGTCGATGGAAATATGAATATATAGTTGGTGATTTGGAGGTTCGTGATTTGGAGGTTCGAGATCCGAGATCCGAAATATGAGATTCGAGATTCCAGAGTCGAGATCCAAGGTTCGAGATCCCGCAATCGAAATGTGAAATCCGAGATTTAAGATGCGAGATCTGGATTTCGAAATTCGAGCATCGAGATCCGAATTCCTAGATTCGAGATCCGAGAGTCGACATCCAAGATCGCGTTCCGAGATCCGATTCGATATCCGGGATTCGAAATCCAAGATTCGAGATCCGGGATTTAAGATCCGAGATTTGAGGTCCGAAATTCGAGACGCAAAATTCAAAAATCGCGATCCGCGGTCCAAATTCGGATTTAAAATCTAAATTATTAAATATTGTTAATATTAAATATAAATATTAAAGATTCAAGAGATAATTTCTAGTCTTGAATTCGATAGATAGTATATATATATTTCCTTTAAAATAAATATAATATAATATATTAAACATATATCAAAATATATTGAAATATTTTTTTAAACATAAAAATATATAATATTCTATATATTTTTATTCAAATTATTTCCAATATATTATATTTGTATATATATATCCTTTAATTTTTTCCTATTTCCATTCCCCTCCAAATATATTTAATTCAATATTTTTAGATTATCGGTTTGTCTTAGATAAAATATTAATAAAATAATATATCAGGGTTATTTTTGTTTTATTATCTAATATTTTCAATTATATTCGTTCCTAAATATATATATATAATATATACAATCTAAATTTGTATGTTTTTATAATCTCCATCAATCATCAACAAATAAAAATTGCCATAAAATATGTCGGGTGGTAATTTAAATTTATTATATATATAATATATATTATTTTTAATATATTAAATAATCTATAAATCCCCCTCATTTATATATTCCCCCCTCCAAAAAAATTATAAAATATACATATTTTTTTTTGTTTATTTTATTTTATATATATATAAATATATGCGAAAATAATATAATATTTAATATATCTATATATTTTATAAAATAAATATATATATAAATTAATATTATTAATTTTTATTATTATATTAAATTTATCATTAATAATAATATTACAATATAATAAATATTACAATATCTAATTTATATTACATACATAAGATTTAAAAAAATTATAAAATCAAATCTTAGATAAGAAAATAAATCTAAAAACAATTTTAATTTTTAAACCAACGATCGAAATCCTAATATGCATTTTAATATCCATAAGAATGCAAAATTCCTTATAAATATCCAACCATAAATATATCGAGAAAATATTCAACTAATAGCCCGAAAGCTACTTAAAATAATATATCGTCGCAATAGCGACGCCAAACACTACCATTTTTAAAGATAACATATAACAACATAACCTTCGCACGCTTCTACTCATTAGATGCAATATTGCAGACTATGTTAGTATACCGGCTTTGCAATCTCAATAATAGAGAAAGCCTCGATTACATTGCTTTTTCTTAATTATCCAGGATCTGTATTTATTAATACAGGTTTTGTATTGCGAACAATTTCAACACTTTGCGCATATTTTAATTTCCTTTTTATAGGTTTTCTTCTAATATTAAGTAAAAAATATGAATGACATTTTATCCTAGATGAATTAACATGATGATTTCAATCGATGACCACCTTTGAAACATCGTATTAACTTGAGAAACACGCAGGATATTGCGGCGTGGCAATCTTGATACTAGTCGCAGGAATCCTCGCGCGACCATCATGCCGTGACTTAGGCCCAATTCTTACAACAAATGTTTTACCTAATTTTTTTGGGAGGGGGGATCTACACATGAATTATTCATTGGGTAGGTCATTCCATCCCCCAGCCATGACTTGCTAAAGCAAGAGTAACTCCAGCTAGCTAACGCTAGCTTTCGTAATCTATGATACAACAGTCAAAATCTAATCTATTGTAATCGTGATATTTTCAAGCGAGCTTTTCAGTCATATTGTATTTATATATATATATACATTTGTTTAAAGGGATATGGATTGATTGAATTTATATTCAGGAAAAGTAGTGTTCTTCAACACTTTTCCGTGGTGATCCGTGGTGGAATATTGACACATCGTTGGAATCATTCCAAGATTGGCAGGGCGAAAAACAGGCACAATGGCGACGCATTTTTGGAACTCCCATGAGCACGCACCTTGCATGTTGATATGATGCATTTGAAGGTTGAAGGAAAACACTGCATTATCCACTGTTCAGGAATGATCTGATCATAGCACCATCATCAAATTTGCTTAGCCTGCTCGCCGTGCCAGGTTTCTACATCATCATGCCTGAGCCCTCAAGGCTTCCAAGCGCTGCACACGTTCCCGAAGAAGTGCGACGCTTTGCTGGGCCTCATCCACTTGAGGGGTGCCAGAGTCAGTGGATGTCAGTGGGAAAGTTTGGGCAACCTTTAGGCAACTTTAGGCAACATTTTTTGCAAGCTGAGGGGATTCTTTTGGGTTGCGAAAGTGCGCTTGCATGAGTTCCAGTACAGGCAACTTGCCTGCCGAAACTCTGCTTTCAAAGCTCTTTCATCGGCTCTGTCCTCAGTGATGGAGAGGTGCCTTCATTGACGCCTGGACGCCCTCTGTCCAAACACACAAGGCTGTCTTGAACACATCGCTCTCGACGAACCACTTGTTGATACGACTGGATGTGACTCATAGGCAAAGAACCTGACATCTAACGCTGTCAGAGCTAAGATCCAACGGTTCCAATCCAAGTGCAGGGAAAGACTCAACAACTTGATTGCTAATATATATATATATATATATAACATTATATAACATAACTATATATGTGCACTCGTACCTGTGCATACAATTCAATACGCCATTTGCCGTGACCCAAAAATGGATGGGTGGCCTGGTCCGTATTGAGATGGTATCTCTCAGCTTCCTCCTTCTCCTCCTTCAACTTCCGAATGCCTTCCTGTCAAATCAAAACAAACCTGGACATGTCCCGACCTTCAATAAACAAAAACCTGAAACCAAAAGCCAGGGGGTTTGAGTAGGATGCTTTGGCGGGAACCATTTGCAAACGTTCAAGGAATGTGACCAGCCCACGGAATCTTGACAATCCGCTATGCCTCCTGTGTCTGGGGCACCCAGGTCCAATCAAAACCATAAGCCAGGCTTGGGCAAGAACCCCTTGAGCCACCAAATCTTGCTTGTCTTATTGTGCCTTCGTCTCCGACTCATTCTTTTCACCTTGTAACCAACAGTCCTGAGACACCCTGCATTCGCCTCAACCACTTGTGCCATGCGACCCAGCTGTAAACACCATGCCTCCCATCGTTCTAGCAGCTCTTCCTGCGCCTGAGAGGGTGGTCTATGCAAAAACGCAAAGGTAGACCCTGTATGTGTGTGTATATATATATATTTTTTAGTATCATTGTCATTGTCCACCAAGGGCATGAATAGCAAGCTGTCCTTGATCCTGTACTGTGACGCTACCACATGGCAGCAACATGTGCACACAGTGATATACAAAACTCTTCTTGCCTTGGCCCGTCTCAAGGATGTCTTGAAAAGGAGCATTCCCGTTGTTTGTCTTAATGAGCCCCCCGTCTGCAGCCGGATTCAACATACGTGCCGCAATACCTGGACTCTAGACCCAGTATGATCACCTGAGTTCCCACCATCGGTTGAGCTGACATGCACAAGGCCCGCCTCTCTGTTATGTAACTCCGGTCGGTATGGCACAAATTGGTTGCGCGGGAACGTGTAAAAATGTACGCACTCACTTGTTGTCATAAGGAAAGTACAGGTTGAAGGCATGAAGACACGTTACTGTCCATGCAACCGCAGACCCTTTTTAGCCGTATAGGCGCGCAACTCCTGCTGACGCAGATTATGAGCCCAAACGAGGTTCGATAAGACCACCTTGCGTCAAGCACGTGGCTTGAGCAAGTTGTTGGCTCCCATGGCGAATCCTTTTTGGTCGAAGGACGTGCAAGAAGCCTTCGAGGCACAGGCAATGAGGCCTGATGACTTGCCGGTGGTTCCTGGCGATGAAGAGGAGTCTTCAGAAGAGCTGCAGTCCGTTGAAGGACATGCCAGGGAGTACGATCGAGGAGACGATGAAGATCGGCCTCTTCAAGGTGATGACATGATGGAAGAAAGAGTGGCTCTGGAAGATGAGCAGGAACCTGAGCAGATGGTGCAACGACCGACAATCAGTGCAGAGACATCTGAGCGGCTTGGCATCAGTGCTCAAATGGCTGAAAGACTTGCGATCGGTGCGCCAGCTGCGAGAGGACCAGCAATCAGTGCAGAGACAGCTGAGAAACTTGGCCTGCAAGCTGCGGAGCGTTTGGCGGCCTCAGTCTGGAAACCGGGGAATTGGTGTGGCGAAAGGTGAGGTGAAAGTCACTCCGGGTTGGCCTACTGCAGCGACATCGTCGATGGCACGATCGATGCTGGGTGGGCTTGACCATGAGGGAGTTCCAATGCCGCCAAGAAGCTGGCTGGACAAGGACCGACACCGTGACCTCGAGCATCAACCTCCTCGAAAAGAACATCGTTCGGGAGAACATAAACGAACCGGACGCGGACATCGTGATGGTGATGGTGGAAGTGGAGACCTACAGAGGGCCTTGGAAGCTCAGGTCGTGGAAGAAATTCGCCGTCAAAATGAAGAACTTAGACAACAGGTGGCCTTGTTGCAGAGTGCGGCGTCCATTAGGAAGAAGACGGTGAAGAAGGCAGCTGATGCAACTTCTGTGAGATCTCCTGAGATGTTCACACCAATGGATGCACCAGGTGAGGCCGTGAGGCACACGCCAGGAGGCACTCGAGTACCACCTGCAACTCCACCTGAGGTCGACGGGAACGTGGATGGGGGAGTGAGGACCTTAACTGACCTACCACCTGTACCACCATGGCCATTGGGGAAACCACAGGTCCAACAAAACGAGCTCATGATGGGAGCTTTTGGAAGATCTTTGAGTCTGGACTCACGGTGTGGAAAGAATATGACAGGAATCGACCATACCAAGGTGAGCCTATGGGAGGTGGCATGAGCAGTGGCGCTGTTCGACGACACCATCTACACGGACCTGGAGAATGTGAAGGCGGGGCTGGTCCCCGACATGAACTACCACACCAACAAGGCGTTGAAGTGGGAAAAGGGAGAGGCGGGGTGGTTCAAAAAACCCGTGAAAGTGGAGCCGCGAGTTGGGACATGGTGGATGACCAGCTTGACAAGTCGTGGATGGGAACAGCGGCAAATTACCAAGCAGTGAGAATGCACTGGTTGGAACGTGAACTCAGTGAACTACGTGGTCGCGTCCAACAACAAGAACAGGGTGCATCGTTGGGTTCTGTGCCGATGAAGACAGGCCCACAATCGAGGCCTGGTGAACCGTTGTGCACAGAGCAGGGTGAAACAAGATCGCCAAAATCGCCTCCTCCAACGTCAAAAGTTGGGAATGAAGAGGGCGTGGATGGTGGTGTGAAGGATGACCTTCGCAGTGTGAGTGTGGTGCTGCCCCGGTTGCCTGAAGAAGGTGCACATCAAGCAGCATTGAAGTGTGGTGACTGGATTGCTGAAATCACCCCACTGGTCCATGATGTTAGCTCATTTAATGGCCAATGGTGGAACCAGTTGATGGAGCATGTTGGACAAGTATACAAACAGTGGCTGGCCTCTGGCAAGCCTCACGGTCGAATTCGAGATGAAGCCGAATGCCTCGAGGTTGGAAAGCCGCGTGTCATCGATGCTCCTTGCGGCCCTTCCGTCCTCACTCAAAGCAGAAGTCATTGCGGCTCGAAAACTCACGGCAGGTGCTATAATGTTGGAGGTCCTCAAACGATACCAGCCTGGAGGCCTGTCTGAAAAGAGCGCACCGTTGAAGGGATTGCAATCGCCAGCTCCTGCGACCAATTCCACTGATGCCATCGAGAAACTCCGTGTGTGGAATCGAAGCATCACCGGGCAGGGGAGCTGGGCGTCACCCTTCCTGATCCAGTTCTACAGGCGCATACGCTTGATGCTCTTGTCAAGGCAGTCCTGGCGCGGGAAGCGCAAGTGTCGTTCAGGATCCAAACTTGGCGTCATCAGCAGGGGCTGGACGTCAAACCGACTCAAAGCATTGTGAACCAGTTCTCGCTTCTGCTGCAGGCGGAGATGCCGACTATTTAGTTGACATCGAATACAGGGTCAATGGAGAACAATGAAGCAAAGGTGAAGCAATTGCAAACCTCACCAACTCAGTGGGCGAAACCATGCAGGTTTTGGGCAACATCGTCGGGTTGCTCGCGTGGATCTTGGTGCAAATTTGCACACTCCTGGGATGGGGTGGAGGACAAGCCATCGAGGTGTTGGGAATGCTCAAGCACGGAGCACCGAAAAAGTGCCTGTCCAGCCTTGATGGACAAGAATGACAAAGGAGGTGGTGAAGCCAAGAAGGACAGCCCCAAAGGCAAGTCCAAGGGCAATGGTGGCAAAGCTAAACCGCAGGTCAACAAGGCTGATGGTGCTGCGGGGCCCAAGTCACCAGAAACACCTGCTGTGCAAGGTGGGGGGAGTGATGGAGGGGATGAGCTGCTCAAAGCAGTTGGCAGCATTTGGACTGAAATGGAAGTCGGTGAACTCATGGACTTGCCGTACTGGTGAAGCCGAGATTGTGGCGAATGTTTGCGAGCAGCTGGAAGAGATCGCCCCAGAGCTCGACAAGAACATCCAGATGCATGCACTGTCGCTTGACATTGCAGGCCAGTTCAGCCCTGGTCAGGATCAAGATCAAGGCCATCTAAAGTACTTCATCATGGCGATCATCACGGTTCCCTTCAAAGATGAACGTCCTTTGGTGTGGGGGTGGCGGCCTGAGAGCTCATCCCAGGATGAAGAACAAGCTGCTGAAGACACACTGCAAGAACTACAACCACGCCTTGAAGAAGGTGTGGTTGGCAACCCCTTCAAGGGTGATGATGGTGCCGTGATCACCGAAGAAGAGATCAACAAGTGCACCTTGAAGCAGGAGATTGAGAATCTCAAGAGCACAAATGTCAAGCATTTGACACTGGCTGCACCACTCCTGAATCGCAAAGAGCAAACAGTCCTTACTGCAGTTGCAAAGTTGTATGCGCGGATCAAAGTACTGCAGATTCCTGTGTTGTCAGTGAAGAGAGACAGGGCAAAAGAATTCGTGTCCAAGCGATTTCGTGAGTGGGTTGCAAACAGGGACATCCTTCAGAATTTCACTGCTGGAGATGAGCCTACTGGAAACACAAGGGCTGAGATTGAGATCGGCATCTTGTGTGCTATTGAAGTCAGCGGGACTCCAGATGGGTGACTGGCCTACTGCGGTTCGGCATGCTGCGGAGGAGAGACATAGAGGTCAGCTTCGTGGCATGGGCCTCAGTCTCCCAAGGCTGCTTCCATATGAGCAAATGTCATGGTCCGCACAAAGACGTGGCGTCGTGTTGCAGATGATTGGAGGCATCCAATGGCTCAGGGCACCGTGCTGGGTCCAGCAGAAGGCTTGGCATCTACTGCCAGGGGCTACTGAGGCTACTGGATTCGAACAGTTGATGGCCATGGCTTCAGGACGACGGTGGCGGTAAGGCCCCAGTGTTCAGTGACCATCAATGGGGGAGTTCAAGAAATCCAACAGCCTGGACACCCGCGTGCAGTAGAACATAGTGGAGAAGATGCTGCGAAGCAAATCCGAAACCTTGCTGATGATGGAGGAGAACACAGTGTCATGGAGCAGTTGAAGTTGAAAGCCGCTGCTGAGTTTTGGGAAACGTTTGATGACATCCCTCAACCTCCGTCGGATGCAGAAGCCCAGGATGATGAAGACCGCCATGCAGGTCATGCTGAAGAGTTTGAAGATCAGCTTGCAGAGCATGCCCTGGTCGAGATCACTGAAGAAGATGTCGCAGAGCACCGTTTTCGTGTGACTGGCAAGCAACCACCACATCGATTGTACCGACCAGTTGGAGCAACTGGGGGGGAGTGGGTTGGTCAAGCTCAAGCTGCAGTCAAGCTACTTTCAGAGGAGGAAGCGAGCGTGATCAATATGAAAAAGTGTCAGACCTGCGGACTGCATCAGCCTCGTGATGAACAAGTGTGTCCTCAGAGCATTGTCAAAGACGTCTGACTGGCTTCAGGGTGTGCTACGTGGAGCGCAGCAAGTTCGAGTTGATGAACTGGCTGTGGGAGTTGCAGGTGATCCGGGTGCAAACTTCAGCTGGCTTGAAGACCTTCGTCGAGATGTGAGATGGTTGCAAACGCAAGCGCAAAACAACATGACTGAGACGAAGGCGGTGATCAAGGCACTGGCTGTGGAAACCCAGGATGCCACTGTGCAAGAAACGGAGGTGCTGCAAACCTATTTGGTTGGGAACAGGCAGGTCCTAGCTGAGAAGGAACTTTGGATGCAGCCGATTGGAAAGGAGGAAGATGAACAGTTTGATATCCCAACCCTCCGAGAAGCTCAGGGCCTTGTCGGTGAGCTGCAGTGGCTTTGAGGCCGTACAAGACCCGACATCACTCATGCGACTGGCGTACTCAGCAGACAGATGCACCGTAAACCTGCTGAAGTTGCACTCCAAGCAAGGGCGCTCCTCGGCTACCTGAAGGCGACAGCTGATTGGGGTCTATACTACTATGAAAAGTGTGATAGTGAAGCTTTCTTCGGGGACATGGGTGAGCTCAAATACCCAAAGAGCCTGAAGCATGTGGATGCCTACTCAGATGCCTCCTTCGCACCCGTCGGTGAGCAGTTCAAGTCAGCGCAGGGAACCGTAATCGTGGTGGCTGGATGTGCGGTGCTTTGGTCGTCATCGAGACAGCCGTTTGTCACTGGATCCACGGCGGAGGCTGAGCTGCTGAGTTACATGGAATGCCACCAGCAGGCACAGGGTGTTGCAGCACTGCTTGAGTGCCTTACGACGTACGAGGTCGGATGTGCAAAGGTGCATCTATGGTGACAACCGCAGCGCACTGAGTTTGTGCGTGGGAGATGTTGGAGCATGGAGAACAAGACATCTACGCCTGCGTGCTGCAGGGCTGAGGTCAGCAGTTGCGTGTACCTCAGGTGGCTGGGCTGTACATCATGTCAAAGGTTCTGAGCTCCCTGCGGACGGCTTGACCAAAGTGCTTCAAGGCACTGTTTTTGAGACGTTCTGCAAGCAAGAATGGGCTCGCTGAAGACCAAGATGGTTAGACGCTGCAGGTCCATGAGAGTCGAGACGAAGATGATGGCCTCATCCTGAGAGCGGCATTAGCTGTGATTGTTGCAGCATTGATTTCGTTCGTCCAGTGAAGCTGACAGCAGCACTGGGTGTGGCTGCAGCGTGTTTGATGATCTTGGGAACAACCCTGTTAAGAAGGGTTGGAAAAAAGATGGGAGAAGGAAGATTGAACTCTTTTTAGGGGGAGTGCCTCCAAAGGGCACTGAATCCACTGTGAGGGCCCAGAATGAACCCACAGTGCATGAAGAAAGGAAAAGATCAGGAAGGGCCCGAAATGAACCTCCTGCGCGGATCCACCCTCTCCACAGTAGCCCTGACAGCTCCCGTGATGCTGCGTCAGGCAGCTGCCGACCGCGTGCCATGGTCAAGATGATGAGGGCTGAAAGGCCTCGTGCACGGCCGCCAAACTCGCATCCGCCCTTTCACCAACCGCCTGTTGGGTCGACTGACAGGTGGATGATTGTGGAGAACTTTGTGGTGAGGGTTCACTGCAAGTTGCGGTATCAAAGATGCCACCCCATACACAGTTCTTACCCTCTTCGGGATGAACAGGTCCTGATGGGCCGCCGAGTCACCATCAAGTACATCGCTGCTGAGGTGGTGAGCTACTATATGAATGAGCGACCAGTTGGAGAGTGGGTGAGAAGAACTGAAACACTCCCACCTCATCTGCGCATACCCCTTGATATGAGAGGTACTGAGGCAGCCCAAGTGAGAGCGCATCGGATGACGCGAGCGGCCTCTTCAGGGCATGGGCATGAGTTTGCCACAACTCCAGCAGTGGTGACTCCAACGAGCGCAGAAGGCACAGGAGGAGAGGAATACTGGCTGTGGAAGGTCGGGTGCGACAAGTTCGACGGCAGCCCCTTCAAGATCTGCTGCGTCTTGGGCATCCATTGGATCAACGGCGCGAGCTTCAAGCGCGCTGGATCCTGGGTTGAGGACACGAAGGCGATCTCCAAACCGCCTCCTTCTATGCCGCCAGCAGAGCGATGGGCAGACGCCCCTGATGGCTTGCTGCAAGCACTAGAAGCCTTGACTGACTCAGAGAAGAACTGTGGGACAACCCCCCTGGGACCCTGGGACTGATCCTGTGTATTGGGTGCAGGTGGGAGGACGGCTTTACCATCGCAACGACCTGATGAGACAGGCCATTGAACTTGAGCGTTGGCCAACACCTGACATGCCTCGCCTTGATCTCTCGCTTGTCCTTAGTACCACAGAAAATGATACGCCGTGCTATGTGGCTGTTCCCGCCGCTGGTGAAGATGCGGGCAGTGGAACAATCTCATCCACTTTGCCAACGGTGACAACAGACTTCTCCACACCTGATCCCACACTGGCTCAGGATGGGAGCCTAAGTGGGAAGGGCTATGCAAAGGGAGGAGCAGCAGATCGGGGAAGAGCCGCGGCAGGTGGGCAGACATTCACTGCTGGCATTTTTGGAGGACCAGGACAGATGGCAACGAATGCCTTGCAGGCATTTGCGGAGGCGGAAGCTGACGAGCATCCAGCTGAAACATCGATGACCCAACAAGTGGGATGAGCTCCGACTTGGCCCGCGAGAGATTCGCATCGGGTCGGACTATGCAAGTGACGAGAGAGTCGAGGTCTGGGACGGCTACGACCTCTGAGTAGAAGGGTCTTGAGCTTACATTTTGACCAAGAGGTCCTGAAATGTTGAGGCAAAGCCTCAAGGGGGAGTGCAGGAACGTGTAAACATGTACGCACTCACTTTTTGTCACAAGGAAAGTACAGGTTGAAGGCATGAAGACACGTTACTGTCCATGCAACCGCAGACCCTTTTAAGCCGTAGAAAATAGGCGCGCAACTCCTGCTGACGCAGGTTGAATCATGTTAAATCCAAAAACTGATACAGTAGAGAACCTGATAAAACACTGCAAAATGGCCACCAAAACTACATGCAACCCCACCCATGCTACATGCTCCTCCGCTCCTCCAGCTCTCGCCGGAGATCCATCAAAGAGATGTCCAGCTCAATGGCTCGGATCTCTGCCTGGGACTTGGCAAGGAGTAGGAGCACTAGTAGCTTTTTGTTACTAGTAATAAGGCCAGGAGCCCCTACTAGCGTCCTTGCTCCTAGTAGCGATACCTTTTTGTTACTAATGGCTTCTTGTTACTAGTAGCGATGGCCTCCAACCCTAATAGCGATGGCCTCCAACCTAATAGCAATAGCCTCTTGTGTTGGCGACAATCTCGGACCTGGAAACGTCACTTCTCCACTCCCGCAAACCTGCAAACGTACCCACAGACCTTTACGAAGCCCCTGCACTGCCCCTTTTCGTGTCCATGAAATTGTGGGTAGGCACACCTCAAGTTGAACCTCTTCAGGAGACTTCTCCTCCTCCTCTTCCTCCGGTTCATGGGACATAGCGTCAGGCCATAGAACCGAAGCGATTCCGGATGCCGCCCGCGACGGATGGCTCAGCTGGTCTTGCTGTCACATGGGTTACAGGTGGTTGCGGTAGTACTTCTTGAGGCCCACGTGAATCTGTAGCTCACATATCTGGAGCCATGAGTGTGAGCGAGGTGAGCACCACGACAAAAAGCAAGAAAAACATATCAAACCACAGCTGATGGAAAATCGGCAGATTTGCACTTCTACCATGATCTACCCATGCATGTCTCGATCCTCCCGTATGGATCATGGGTTATCATCCCGAGTCTGCCTGCTGGCCAAGTCCAATTTCACTGGTCAGCTGAAGGGCTGCAACATCACGCTAATTGATGGGGCGCATCCTCAAAACGTCAGTGTCACACACTCTAGCTCCTCCTTCCGCAGCCAACACCTGGGAAGGTTTTATAAGGTTTTCACAGTGTATGGACAAGTCTCTTCACGATGAGCCACTATTAAGCAAATATGACCATTCTACCCCACCAGGAGCAAAGGTACAAATCCCTCTTCCCTTTTCATCCCTTTTTCCCTGAACCCTAATCCTTCGACACACGGTCGAAGTAACCCAAAGTCCATTGCCATTTCATCCACTCGGATCTGCCCCTCTTTTCTCCGGCTGTGCTTCTCCGGCTGTCGGAGCCCCAAGTGGGCTTTGGACATTAATCAGAGCGGCACTTGCAGCGGGTCGTGGTAGAGGCACTGCACTCAGTGAAACTCTTCCCAACAGTAAGTCACACAGGGTGCACTTGCCATATCATCCCATGCATGTCTTTCGGAAAGGGTGCCCAAACCTGGGCCAAAGCTGCGAAACCGTTTGGAAACCACCATTCCACACATAACCTCAGCCTACATCAGGACTGATTTCTGATTTGAATCAATGTCCCAAACCTTCCAACATCCCTGGGGACAACCCTTAGCAAATATCCATGAGCACTTCAGAATCCGAGGCACAGTCGTCAACTGTCAGGCAACAGCGAAGCTTCGCACCACAAGCGTGGTGCTGGAAACGCCGTCTGCATGTTTCGTTGGAGGAGCACACCATGCATCGACGGGGATGAGCAAGAGACGGGATCACCATCTTGTTGGACGTGATCGCAAGTTCCCGTTGACGAGTTTTCCATACATTGTCCATTTCATGCATACGTTCATGCATCCATATACTCTAACTTGCGTGTGGTTGGCGGGCCTTCCCCCGCTTCTTCCTTTTCAACGTAGTCAGCCAGAAAAAATCCAACTGCATGTCAAAAGAAGCAACAAATTCTACCTGCTTGTCCACCATGGGCCATAGTAGAAAAATATGAGTATATATTCGTATATGTACACAGCAAGGGATGGTCTGGATAATGCGTGGGATTTTGGATGAGCAAGCATATACACGGAGGTTTGGTGAGTGCCCCCAAGTCCATTCCAAAGCAATCCAATCCTACGTTGCTAGTGGACCATCTGTCACATGTGGCACACCATCGTCAGTTGGGCGTGTAAGTGGAGGTGTGTGCCGAAGCTCCCGTGCCGCCCCACCTATATAACTCCTCACAAACAGCCGCAAGTGCCGCCGCAAGACTCGTCTGAGTTTTGGCATTAACAAACCTAGCAATCTTGGCCAGGGACAAGGCCTACTGAGACTTCTCCAAGGAGAAAGAAGGAATGAGAACAAAACTGGATTTGAGTGGCACCTCTCAGAGTCAGAGATTTCCATCCAGCTCACCATCACGCGTATTCCATATTCCTAATGAAGCCCCAGCTGATTCTAAAGTATTCTAATGCTTATTCATGGCTGCAGCTCGCATCAAAAGAATTCAAAAGACCTCCCATTTTGATCCCTCACGTTGGGCGAGCCGCAATGCACCGCAGACCGCTCTGCTGGTTGCCAATTGCCAACGGCAGCATCTCAGTCGAGGATTGAATGTCGAAGCACCTGGGCGGTCGCGCAGAACTGTTCGTTGCGTGCTCATGAGCACCTTCTTTCCTTGGACGGTTCGGTCGGGCTGTGATGGGCCAATCCATCGCCAACCATCTGCAGTCCGAGAACCTGAGAAGTCCGAGAACCTGAGAGTAGGAAGTGGCCTCAATGGGATGGTGGACTGGCGATAGAAATGTCCAATTGCCTTCATGAGTGGTGGACAGTCGATGAGCTGGAGTGAATCTAAATCTAGCCCTCCAAAAATATTCAAAGACTTGCAACATGTTCAACTAAAGTTAGCTAAAGTATACTACGGAGCTTTTTCATCCACAGCCCACAGCCAGCTGGAAGCGTGCCCTCCACACAACCTGTGCTGAAGGTGTTAGCGGGCCCATTTTGACCCTCACGACCTGCTATTACATGACATTTATCCTGACATCTTGCTCACCAAGGTGCAGCTTGCAGCCACGACTTCACAGGCTCCTGTTCTCTGTCAGCAGGCTGCCACTGTGCCTGTGTGCAGGGCAGGCGGTGCGGGGGGTTGGGACTCATGAGATTTGCTTGAAGGTCCTTTGGGGGGCTTTGCAGGGCAGGGTGGTAGTGTTGACGAAGAAGCAAGGACTATCACACGGAGGTTAATGATTTGATTTATCTATCTTCTTGAGCTCTACGCCGCTACGCCGCTGTGCATTGATTAATTTTGCCTCGGCTTGACCATTTTTATGGTTTTCTTTTCTCTTGGAATGTGGTGTCCTGGCTTTTTTGGGCCGGCATACCACACTGTGGGGCAGGTTCTGCAACGTCTCATATGACCCTTTAAAAGGGCGAAACATTCTGGCCAATCGGCGGGTCTTTGGAGCCTCATGGATTTGGCGCAACAAGAAAGCTCCCCAGAACAGAAACTAGGAGTGGTGGTCTTCATCAATGTGGCCCGAATAAAAAACAAGTCTTGTCTTCCTTGTGCTAGGGGGTCTGGATGACCTTCCTTTAGTAAAGCCTATGTATGTACACATATAACTCTGTATATAGATGAAATTGCAACCGTGTTGGTGATATCAGTGTGCCATGGCAACTTCTGAATGAAACACGCCCCAAGCCAAACGTGCTTGGCCACAAAAAGGCTGATGGTGTGATAAATATTCATCCGGGATATCCGGGATTTCACGCGTGGCCGAGCCTCGACCTCTCCATCCTGGTTCAGCTGGATGAAATAGGACTGAGCGGCGGACTGATCGCCTCTGCCCCTCCCAAGCCATCCATACTGAAGGTCCCAGTGTGATAGCTGAGCCCTGATGGGTTTTGCACATGATCGCCATTCCTCTTGTGCGCTTGCCACCCTCTGTGCGAAATGGCGTGGGCTAACGCAAATGGAGCCTCCACCCTGAAATGAGATAACAGGAAAAAACACCCTTTGCTTCATTTGGACTATTAAACGTATTACGTATATATTCCCCTGACCGGATTTCCAGATGTTCATAAATGTCATCGTCAACTTGAAACATAACGAGAAAATAAGAAAATCAATAAGAAAATCAATGAACATCAATAGCTGCACTGATTGGGAGGTGGTTGGAGTGTCGTGCCGTCGTGCTTTCCAGCGCCAGCGCCTCGGGTTCACTCCCGGCAGCGAAGCGGGACTTGCCTCAGGAAAACCGGGGGCCTCAAAGCTTGGACACATCTTTTGAGAACTTCAAAGCTTTGTTTGCATGTTTTGCTGTTCCAATGCTTTGAATTGCGTGGCTGCCAAAGCTCTGAAGGCACAAAAGCAAAAGAACCATCTAGTAACTGGCTACTCTCAGTTGCAAACAAACTACATCCACCTGCTAAATGGCGCCCAGTCTGTCCAGCATTTTGAATCACACGCACCTCTTAGCTTTTACAATCGGTTCTGCTGAGGTGGCGTGAGGTGGCACACTAAGGTTAGTGAATTAATCAACTAAAGCTTGTTAAATCAATCACATAAGCCCAAAGATCTGGGGCACAAGCATTTGGGATCAGCCAAGCGGTAGCACACCTGTCAGAGTCAAACTGCTTGCACTCAACACACATGGCCGCCAAATGGATTTACCATGATTTACCGGATTCTCCTTTACCCAGTGGCGGTTCAGTCTGAATTTTGGTCTATCAATTGACCACATCTAGTGAAAACACTTGCAAAAACTGTTGGCAGAGCCGCCCAAGACGACATCAGCCTATGTTGTTATCGCTTGTGTGGGGACCCGGTGGGGGATGCCAGGCGCTTTGCGGCGGGGTGAACTCAGTGCAAATCGGATCCGAAAAAGCGCGCTCTGAGGCTCTGACCCTGAATGTGGCCTGGCTGAAGGATCAAATGAACCAACAAATGAGACAGTTTCCCAAGCTAGTAGTTCACAGTGGGCATCCTTAATTTCGTGCTTTTTGTTTGCGTGTATGCAGTAAGTATGTTGCAATCATATGCAAATCCACATAAAACGTGAACTGGAGATCCGCTCACAATCAACATCAGAGTTGCATCCTTTCAAGCCAACACACTGCAGGGATGGGAGGGTCGAGCAGCCACGGCTCTCATGGAGTATCTCCAGATACTCCGCCCTGACAGGCTGGATACCCCGTCCTGGTTTCCGTCTTGTTGCCACAAAGTGCTCCGAGCGGGGCACACTGAAATCTCACCCCTGCCTTGGACCACAAGACCTGCAAAGGAAACTGCTCAGGTTGGTACTGCGTCGTTCCTTGGACAGTGATTGGTCCGGAAACGACATGAATCCTCCGTTCGCAAACATTCAGAACGTGGTTCTTCTTCACAACGGTTCCATAGATTTTAAAGCTTGCTACTTCTTCACCGGGTGAAGGACATGTTTTATCGTTAGTTAAGTGTGCCGTCCACTTGCAGTGGAAGGAGGTCTACCAAATGCTGAAGTGAAAATGAACATGAACGACCCATCGGTGTATCATCGAGGTTCCCTGCACAAACTGCGCACACAATTGATCCTCGTGCATCAACAGCTAGCCCTTGGTGTACAAACCGCCATACCATACGTCAGTGCCGTGCCGACACAGGCCAAAATGAGATGCCCTCCAGTGGAAGCAATGTGGATGGCGAACATTTGAGCCAAGGCTCTTGCGACCCACAGCGGCAGCAAATTCCTCTGCCTCAACATTTCACCAGCGACCCACAAGTTTCCAGCTCCCAAAGCCGTCAACGACCCAGAAAAGCGGTGCACCACCACAGGCAGTTCTTGGCTGACATTTTGCACGCGTCAGCTAGTGCGTGATGGTATGTTCGATGGTACTCAGCACTGGCTGCTATTCTGCTATGCCGCCATGCGAGGATGCTTCCAAATGGACACCGGCCATGTGTCGCTCACATGCTGATCCCATGTGCGAAAAGCCCCTGCCTGTCGCGCACTTGCGCGTAGTCCAGCTTACGCCCTTCACCTTTGATCCGTCTCAAATCCTTGGATGCAAAAATCCAAGTGCTGCCTTGCTCTGGTGCTTTTGTAAGTGACCAGGAACACACAAAGGTTGCGACATGTGCGATACATCTATCTTCATTTTACTACTCGACGACCGGAGAACCGGACAGCACCAACACCAACACAGGTCTTCCCCTGGAAACTAAGTTTGAGGGGCACTGCAAAATGGAACATCATGGGAATCACGGGAGATGTTGAGAGAACCTGAGGGTGGAGGTCTACAGTGCTTCTTCAAACCTGATGCCCTCATGTCTTGAGCGAGGCTCTTTGTCCCAGGTGTCGGCTGACTGGATCTCTCCAATCACCTGGAGCAATGGACTCAGGCGCGATTAGACTTGACCACGGCCAAGTGGACCATTACCCCGTTTCACCCCAGCGAACGGACCCGATGCGTGCACGCACACCTTGGGCGGCTCCTGCTGCTCATAGTCCTTCCGGTCGCTCCAGTACTTGAACCTGGGAGGCGAGCGTGGAACCTAGCCGGGGAAGAGTGGGAACAATGCACAAAAGGCACATGGCCCACCTGCCAGAAGCAATGAGAATTGGTGACATGAAACCTTCAGGTGGCCTTTCGATTGGATGGGTGGTGCTCAAGTATGCCAAAGGGTTTGGGAGACCTGTCTGCCAGGGGATCGGTCAGTGTTGGAGATTAGGAATTCTATATACGAAGTTCAGGGCTCACAGGCGCAAGAGACCTGCACCCAGACCGTCCCAGACCTCTCCCAATCGAAACCAACCACACATACAACTCGGACAGGGGAAGAGTCCTGTCCTGCTTGGCTGCAAGCGGCATAATCTCTATTCACCAAGCATCGCAAAAAATCGGAGTAGCATCTGAAACAAGCCTCCCTGCCCAGCCTGCTTGGAAATACGGTATGTGTTTCGCTGTTCATGTTTGTTTCAGCTTGGAATGAGGTGAATGACGCTGTGAATGATGAGGAATATGACGTTCTATTTACATTCAGGCTGTTCCAAAGCATCTTCTCAGGAATTTACAGTAGCTCAGTAGGAGCAATGTGAATTCGGCTGATTCGATTCGTGGTCTTGCAATGGTTGAGCAGCTCGTGGTTCTCCAGCACCACCCACTTCTCTGACCAGTGGTGCAAAAGGCCTCACAGACGAGGTCCGTCTCACCAAGCGAAGCACCGGATGATGACAAAGGCAAATCGTTTTGATGAACCAAACGACGCTGAATCGTATTGAATCCGCCAAAAAGCTCTTAACTTGCCGGTCACGAAGAGCAACTTAGTTCACATGAGTACGTCTCTCAAAAACGAACCCACATGTCCAGCCCGAGGATGGTTCCTGTCCCGCCTTTCGACTTCTTCATCAACAAGCCTTCTTTACGATCAGGATGAGGCCTCTTCTCCTTAGAACAGGTCAAACCTACCTACAAACTGCACCACATATTATTTTGATACACCATGATACTGCTACCATGATAAACCCATCCGGGAGTTTGCAAAAGACTTGGCTCGCGAACCTAGGCTGGGCCCTCTTGGGTCAAAGCCCCATGTCCCAAAACATACCAAAGATGAACACGAACATGGTCCATCGGGGGATGTTTGCTTCGCTTTCAAGGGTCTTCGGCCTGAACCGCCGTAACCCACAGCCCACAAACGCAAAGCCCCACAAAGGCCTTCAACACAGACTTGACATGACTTGAGCAACTAACACACACACACATATATATATATGTGATATAAACGTACAATTGTCATCTCTGCGACTACTTCGGAAAGTCCAAGGTTACAACGGTGCCACTTGGAAAAAACACCCAGCGGCACACATTGGGGCACCCGACAGCTGTGGTGCTCAACCGCTTTGGGACCCACTGCTGCGTCTTCGGCACGCGCACCGGATCCCAGGCAGGCCTCGAAACGCTGGAAACGCACCGGTGAGGCGAGGAAAACCTTGCCTGGTCATGACTCGCCTCAAAATGCCTCATGAGTCTCAGCATTGAAAACACCAAGGTGGATATGTTTTGCAAACCGACTCGCATCGAAAACACCTAAAAGAACAGTGGCAACTGATTCTAGAATTCAATGAGATAACCTGGCTCATTCAAGGTTTGTTCATGTTTGTTCTCGGGGTGGTTGTTGCTCCACACGAAGCCAGCCCAGAATATAGCAAGAAGAGATGAAGAGTTTCAAGGTAGCGCGGACACATAGTTGGCAAGGGCTCACACATGCACACACACACACAAACTTTGCAAAGTTCCCAAAACCGCTTGGACACATGTAGGTCTGCGGTTTGAGTCCGAGTTGGCGCAACAAAAAGACAAGGTCTGAGTCTGCACTCCTTCTTTTTTCTCAGCGACCACACCCAGGTCAGTTCTTTGAAGGCCCAGTGGTTGGGGCCACATACTGTACAAGCAATGACATACATCTATGGCATCATGGTGTCTGTAAATTACTCCGGGCTGCAATTCCCACAGAGTGGAAATCCTGCACGTTGGCAAAATGGCCCTTTGAGCTAGCCTTACTCTCTCATCCCAAATCACAAGAAGTATGGCACCAACTGCCGAGGAGGCACAGCCGCGGCCGAAGCTGGCACCTCCTGAAATATCCGGAACTCCCGCTCACCTCTCTCATCAATGTCAAGGATGGAAGCGACATTTCCACATCGATAGCAGTAATTTGGAGCGGACCACACGGTCACCAGCAATCCAGTCTGATCTTGCAGGCGGTCACCAAACATGTATTTGTAGCCTTCTTGTACTAGCTGGTGCGCTCGGGCTATCAAATCAAGCCCATTGAGGCGATTAAAATGCTCTGTGGGGCGTTCTCCAAAAAGCCACCCAGCTCCTCGTGGGCTCACTGCCCAGCTTTCGATGTCTTCGGGATCGGACCACACCAAATCTCCAAAAGCGCCTTCGTGTGGAATCTCCTGGACTCGATTGATGGTGCGGATCTGATCCAAGACCTTCACGTCGGGTGACAAGCCTCCATGGACACAAAAGATCGAATTCTCCACAATGGCTGTTAAGGTGAGATAGTCGAAGACCTCGGTACAGTACTTCCAGCCGTTGGCATTTCCATACTTTCGCAAGCACTCATCGTAGAAACCGTACACCTGTGTGATCTGTCTGGATTCATGATTCCCACGCAAGAGAGTAATGCCAGCTGGGTAGCGAAGCTTCAGAAGCATCAAAAGCTCAAATGTTTCCACGCTATTGTACCCTCGATCAACAAAATCTCCCATGAATATATAGTTCTTCTCTGGAATCTGTCCACCAATGTTAAACAGCTCCAACATGTCAAAGTATTGACCATGGATGTCACCACAAATCACCACTGGCAACTGCACTGGCTGCACATTGCTTTCCTCAATCAGAAAGCTCTTGAGCTGCTGGCAAGCCAGCTTCAGTTGCTTTTCTGATAGGATTTCCGGCGCTGCGTCCCCAACAGGTTTCAACTTTTCAATGAGCTGATCCAAGTCCAAATTGGAGTCGTCAGGCCCGTTGAGCACCATGTCAAATCATCTAGATCATCTAAACAGCCGTTGATAGATACATTTGAGTTGAACCAAAATGGCTCAAGATTCTTCCCGTCCGTTGCCAGCCCAACGCCCAGAACCCCAAATTGATCCAAATTGTGTCTCAGGGTGCCAGGGTCAATGAGGGCCTCAATTATGGGCAACACTCCATGATGAACCTTGCACTCTCTCAAACATGCTGCTCACAACCGAAACAAGGTCGTGCAAAGTGAACCAGCATGAAACAGGGAACATGCATTTGCATGATTCATGGACGATCTGATCGCTGGAAAGGAAGTCAAGTAGGAGAATGAAAGCCCCTGCTTTCGCAGCCGGATGATGCAATGCAAGGGGCCAGAAGCGCAAAAGAAGCTCAGCAGCAGGCGCTGAATCTGAAGTGGGATCTAAGCCTGTCATGATGCGACAGGGTCAGGTGAGTCATGTGTGGGTTTGCAACAATGGCATCAATTGAGACGCCCTAAGAGAGCCTGTTTTCAAGATTTAACAAGAGGTCTAAAAGTCAGCACAATAGCCGGTGCCAAAGTCAAAGTCAAAAAGTCAAATCATAAAGTTCCAGAAAGTCCAACAAAAGTCAATTGGCGATTTTTTTTGACTTTTATTTGATTTTGTTGACTTTTTCGAGTACTGTTCGATTTGTTCTCTAATTTTGACCTTTTTTGATGTTTTTTTCCTATTATTTCGACGTTTTTCCGACTTGTTCGAGTTGTCTTCTAATTTTGATTGTTTAAATCTATTTTACGAACTTTTCTCTACATTCTTATTTTATCCAATTGACCTTTTTTTGACTTTGACTTGTCCATTTCATTTTTTGCTGTGTTTAACAGGCTGTCCTGGCCTTACCATATGGACACCGTATAGCTTGGGGATCATTCTTAGTAGTCTAATGTAGTCTACATATACCTTTCTTATGGGTTGCAGTTTCCCGGTGATGGATCTGCGTCAAAGTGAGCAAACGTACTTGGGCGATCTTGGGCGCGCAGGGGAAGAGAACATAAACAGCCAATTCACTAGTCTGACACGAAAACACGACTTATTGGTTCAAACTCCCTTGTGCTTATATTGTCGCCAATGAAAGACATCATAATATGATAATTATGAAGAATGAACTATATAATATCATAATTCCCATTAATTTTGCTAAAGATAAGAGAATTACTATCCAAAATTAATGGTCATAGATAATTCCATTTCATAAAGTAATTCCTAACAATGAAATGGACATATGCTTACAGGATTCTTCATTCTAATCTGTAGGTCCAAGCACAGTGCGATGATCTCAATATAAACAACGTTCTGGGGACAAATCACGTTCTTGTTGATGCGCCTGGCCCTGGTTCTGGAGATCTTTCACACGTTTCCTTGCTGTTCTAGGACACCCTCCCCGCAAATTGACCTGGAAAGAAGCACCCGCCCACCCACCGACGCCCACCGACCACACCCACACTCTTTAGCTTCTATGAGTGCATCTTTGGGTGCCCATCATCGCTTTCACTGACACTGGGCATCCGGGCGCACGCGGCACGAGCTGCTGGGTCGCCAACGGCATGTGTAGTCGTCCACAACGGCCAGGTCCTGGTGGTGCGACCATCGAGCTCCCCCGCGCGACTCCCAAAGGCCAAATCCCAAGTGGGCTTGGTTTGGGTCACGCATGCTGAACTGTCAGTAGCGTCCTTGTTACTAGTAGTAATGGCCTCCAACCTACTAGCGATGGCCTCCACCTAGTAGGTTCTTGCTACTACAGTAGTATACAGTAGTAGCTTCTTGTTACTAGTTCTATTTCGTCTCGTGAATTTGTTTGGGCAATGTGTCCAACAGGAGGATCCTCCACATATACACCCAGACCTCCAACCATAACGATCCGTCGGCACAACGGGACACAACACAGATTCTTCCCACGCGCCGGCGCTCTCTATGGCTCTCTCCTCCGGTTCACGAAGCACCTGTGCAACCTGCTGCAGGATGAAGTTCCGATGCAGCTTGGCAGTGTAAACGATCTGCATATCGTAGTCCAAATGGCCTCTACTTCGTGACTCCGGGATTTGCAAATTGACGGCTGTACTGCGAAACCTGTCGGTAGTAATTAGCCGTAGTGATCGCATTAAAAAAGCTGCTTGTGATGTGAACGAGAGATTCAGAACTGCTCCAATATGCAAAAGCATTCAATGAATGGAATCCCTTAGACTATCTGGAATCTCCAATCTGGTAAGAACCTGCTTCCACACAAAGGTCAACTAAGTCCCTCCATTGATGGCCTCAATGGCCTCCCTACAAGACAAACAAGAAACAAAAAGAACTGTTTGTTTGTCGTGAAGCCTCATACAGTATCCCTGCCCCCCTGTTTGTCCACCTGGAAGAGTGCAGTCCTGCACCGTGATGTTCAAATCCTGAGATGGCCATCGTCCCCTTCGTTCGACCGGTCCATCCGGCAAGGACATGGATTCCCCGATTCAAACGTGCCTGGAGATCCGTACTCGGAATTCAGCTCTAGACTCGAACTGGCCAAACGATGTATATCCAACGCGCTATTCCTTACTTCAACTCATTCAACCACTTCCAAAAATGGCCGTGCCTTCCATTTCCAGGTTCTTTAACGATGTATGATCCAGCCAGGACCACCTGTCTCTGGGCCCAAGCGTCTGCCTCCAGTAGTGTTTGGATCGGCACCCATTTGGCCTCACCGGATCGGCACCCGTGGGCCTCTCCCCGATCTGGTCTGACTTGGAATCCTTATTCACAGGCTCTTCGTCTTAGCCCAATATGAATCTTGACTGATGGAATCAGTCTTCTCCAAGCTTCTATTGGAAGCTTCTCAGGACTGGTCTTGGGCATCTTGGAAGTAACTTCGGATGTCAACCATCCCGAAAGAGCAAAGCGACATTTCTGCAAACACCTGTTCCAAACAATTACAGCAATCACTCCTCATATTGCACATCTCAAAATAGATTAAATATAGAGTCAACAGTCAACATATATCATGGCCACCCCCCTCAAAACATATTTATATGAATAGCTAAATACAGTATGAATAGTTAAATACAAACTCTTATGAGCTTGCACCTGTTGGAGCACTCTGTTTCACCATCCGGTGGCGCCTGATCAAATTGGATGGCGCCATTGGGCGCCAAGCGGCCGAGCTTGCAGGGCTTGTTCCAATCTCCTAGTTCAAACCGGGGGTTCAAACCGACCCCTGGCTTCGCTTCGGAACATAGACCAGTGTACCCAGTCTACCGGGCCAGGGATGGCCAGGGGGTCTCCTATTAAACATCCACACCCATGGGTCAGCAGCTTCGACGGTGAGTGGTAGTGAGTGGTCACTGAAGAGATAGGCATAATCTGGAAGAATTAAATTAATGAAAGCAATCTTGAAATCCATTCTGGCGATCCTTGGCTGACCCCTCAGTTTCGTTGCAAAAAGAGGATCACCTTTCTCCATCTGTTGGGTTTTAGTGGGACACGAATATCTCAAAAGGTCAAAGGTTATCCACTGACTCGGTCGGCTCGGGGACCTCTCAGGGCAAGGCAGCAAGTCTTTGAGACATCTGAGTCTCAGAAACCACAAACCATCACGAAAGACTCGCCACCACATGGCTGCACATGGCAGGTCGAGAGCTGCTTCATAAGTAATTTGATGTAATTCGTAGTTTTCTGGTCACGGTCACAGTGCAGTTTCACCATGCAGTCCCAAAAGGTTGGTGCACACTATGGAACATTTGCATTTTAGTTAGACTCCTGACAACCTAAACTGACTCATGCGTTGCCGCTATATTCTGCGGCTGCAACCAGGAAATAAGCTGTTTCCTGTGGCCCCGCAGCATGGTGTCTGCTGTGCTAAACTCCTGCACGAAGCTGTACTCGGTACGTAGCACCACGCAGCTGGCGATCAACTGCAAAGGTGCTTCCAACAAAGCCTTAGCCGCTTCCAAAATTCTATATAATAATGCAGGCTGGGCTGGAAGAGAAACCACTATACATGTTCGACCTTCTTAGCCAACCAGTTCTTAAAATAAAACAAATTATATATCTATCATGTATCTGTGTCTATCTGCCTACATACATGGATCATGCAGCTTGTAGATTTTGGATTACATGTGGGGAGCCACTCCAAGAGCTGCAATGCTATTCTTTCTGCACTTCTAGCCTCTGCACGTGGAACAATGAAGTGGGAGAGCTCACCGGACACCAACTTTGCTGAGACAAAATGTTGGGTTTCTGGGGATCTTAGTAGGACCTTGTTTCTGTAAAGTGGAAGAAGAATTCCAAGAAAAGGAGGAATTCCAATTCCTGCCCACTGGTGAGCCAAGACCCGGGGCCAAGATGCGCAAAGTGACAACTTTCACTACCCACGGTGGGATTGGTCTCAAGACGTACGTGTTCTTGGCCTCTCGTTCCGTTCAATCTCGAAAGCAATAAGGTCGAATGCTACTCTTGACTACTTGTCATCCGAGGATTGGTTTATGTCCTGCACAGTACATAGTACATAGTACATAATATATCCATGCCACTTTTTTGCCAAGCGTCTTTCCATCGTCAGGAACTCCAGGCTATCCACCCAAACCTTGGACAAGGCCGATTCCGATTTTGGGACACCAACAAGCACACGGGAGGTGCACAAGCGCTCTTTATCCGGGTCCAAAAAAATAAGCCCAAAGAATATCCCCGACAGCTTAAGCGCAAAATGCAACACTTTTTCTTCAGGTTAGCAAGGTAAACTAAGAGGATAGGATACTAAAAGGTTAGCAAGGCAAAAGGTAACAGTAGGAAGCACAATGAAATAGACTTGAGGTATGATGA